CATATAATAATGGAGGTAGCTGTCATGGAACTGAGCGATAAAAAAATTATCATAAATCATTTTTTTCAAATGGAAACCCACTTTTTTTATTTGATTAGTGAAAAGGTTTTCCAATTCGTTACATTTTGAGCATACATGTTTCTATACCTAAATTAAATCGTTTTTAAGTTATTTAAGATTTAGTTTGAAAACGTATATTTTTCTTGATTTTATCTAGCTTCCTTTGACATTAAGTGTCAAACAGTCAGACAATTTATTTCCATTTGTCAGAAAATGAATTATTTGAATTTCCTATATTATAAATGCTCCTGCGCAAGAGTTATTTAAAAAGTGTATTTATAACATGGCCAGATCTATTGTTCTACATCACTTGACGTTTAAAGATGGTTAAAATCTCTATGGTTACAATCAAGAAAAATATACGCTTTAAAACTAAATCTTAAATAACTTAAAAACGACTTATTTTAGGTATAGGAACATGTATGGTCAAAAAGTAACGAATTGAAAAGCCTTTTCGGCAGTTGAATAAAAAAAGTGGGTTTCCATTTGAAAAAAATGATTTATGATAATTTTTTAATCGCTAAATTGCATGACAGCTGTGGTCGTTATTATATGACATTCAAACAATTTAATTTTTGAAATAGATAGCCACACGTCTTCTCTTTTTGGTACAGTGGCTGTGGTAATCACTAAATTTGACATTTAGACTATACACATATGTTTGACAGGCAGTTTTTCCGTCCAAAAATTTTAAATATTTTTTTTTCTCAAAAACGGTTAATGTTAGGTATAGATTGTTTAATATCAAAATTCATAGAATTTTACGGAGAATTTAAATCTGTAATAAAAAATGGGGGCACCAATTTAAAATAAGGAAGTTGCTGAACTTCCGGTATTTCCGGAAGTGCCGCCATATTGAAAATATTTTTAATCGATAGTTCTCATTGTGAAACAATGATGTGCAAAAAATCTCCGATCTAGATATTGTGGTTCTCTAGAAACTTCTAATGAACGCTCAGCCTGGGACACCCTGTATACGGCTATATAACCAGTGTTCCCATCCAAGCCACAAGCTTATTTTTCATCGAGCTAGATTATCACGAGATAACGAAGATTACAGTTGGGGGATGGAACCTTGGGTGTTACACAGCAAAATAAAACACTAAATCACCACAATACTAAGCTAACCATGTTAGCATCATCAGCAGATGATTAAAACTCACTTAGTCTTCGATTTTTTTTTAGACGATTAAGACTCACTGAGTCTTAATCATCTGCTGATGATGCTAACATGGTTAGCGAAACGCGCGTCCAGTGTAAAAGTAAAAATATTTTGGTGTATCGTGGTGATTTAGTGTTTTATTTTACGAAATAACGAAATTAAATTGTTTTACAGAGGGTAGATCTACCCCGAATGGGGTAGCTGTGGCAACACTGCGGCGCTATCACTTCTCCTCTCGCTAGCTCGCGCGTCACGGGCGACTCGCGGCCGTCATTCAAAGCCGTGTGTCACGGCCTTGAATGTTAATTAATTAATCATACACATAGGAAATAAAGTTCCATTACGCTGCAATTTTTATGAATGAGAAAATATAAAATTGGCATTCCACATAAAATATCGTCACCGATATTGTATTTAATTTATGCAGTAACTAATTTTCTTTTAATGCCTTTTTTATCAAGATGAACTTGACCACAGTAATGTTTTAAAAACGTATTTGTAATACAATTTATAACAATTTTGACAATACCTTCTGCAGTATGAACATTACATCGCGGAAAGTACAATAGAAAGTTATTCTTTTTAATGTAATCAAAACTTATTGTTGATAAAAATAGTTTTTTATTGCCAATTTTAATAAACTGCTTCTCATTCCCTTGTAAAATTTTGTTAAAAATTATATATTCATATAACACTATATTAGTTACATCGTCCTTTGGAAACTTAAGGCTGTATCTGGTAAGGCTTTTTATAATTGAATTTTGTTCAAAATCAATGTCGTCCGCAAATGTTAAATTAGTCTCACATGTATCGCATTTAATTTTTTTTAAGACATCATAACAACAATACCCCCCTAAATATGTTATAACAGGCATTTCTTCTTTCACACTTTCGATATCTTCATCGGAAATGGTAACGTTGATGTTAAACCAATCAGAATTCAGTGTACTGGTTTCGCATGGTATATCTAGGTCTATTGGTATAATATCTTCAACCGAGGTATCGTTAGCTTCATAAAACGAATCAATTTTTATACAACCAAAACAAGTGGATTTTAATGACATTAACGAATGAATCCTAAGTCTCTTTTCACTCTCATATAATCGCCGAAAAGAAATATTGTATTGATCCCCAGCTAACTCTTTACATTTCCCAAATACATTTTCAAGAGAATCAGTATGAAATTTTCCTAGTAAAACATACTCCATATTTAATTCGTTAAAGCAATATTTTATCACTTCCAGCATGCCATAAATTGAATGATGTAAAGCGGTATTAATTTGTGGCATTAGTTTTTTCGAAAATAGATCAGATTTTTTCCATATTTCTAACCAACTTAACATATTTTGCAAAAAAGTTATTTTTACATCACCTGAATTGAAAGAATTGGCGGTAATTGGTTCTTGATACACATCATTGAGTCTTTTATATGGAGTTTGAACATTGACTATTTTCCACCAAGTTAATATGATATCAATAAAACAAGCGGTATCTTGGGAATATATAATATTTGTACCAAACCTCAAGAGAGCCTGAATGACAAAAGGATTAAACATTTCTAATGCTAACTGAACATCTGGTTTTTCTGAATTTATAGAAAGCAAAGCTTCTAAAGTTGAAGAAGAGACATGTTTTAGTATTTTATCTCTTTCTGTATTGCTTAATGCTACTAGACTTTGAACTGAGGCAAATTTTATAACGTCTGATTTTTCAAAATCGGGATATGTAAGTATTTTAGCAGGTTCCGAATTCATCCAGTTACATTTTATACATTCTAGTAAGTAAACTGAGTCAAACAAATAAAACAAAGGCCTTTCACTTCCTGCAGGATGAGGATAAACAATACTCAACTGCTTTTTTACTGAGAAGTTGCTCATTGCTTTAATATTCATTGCATTATTATCAGTTATAGTACAGAAAATCTTATATCCAATTTCTTCGAGGCCAATAATGATATATTTTATGTGCTTAAAAAGAATATCAGGGTCAATTTTTGCAAATGGTGAAATATGTATGAGTTCTTTAAAATTTGAACGTACTCCAATAAGCGTGAAAGTAAATGCAGAATTTACTAAATGGCTATTAGGTCTTGCAGTCCAAGCGTTTCCCCCTCTATGGTCAAGATCAGGTTTGGTTTGAATTTCCTCCAACAGTAAAATCATATGTCTCTTATGATTATCTTTTACATACTTAAACATATTTTTTGCATAAGTTAAAAAAGATTCCCGTTTTTCAGCAGTAGGGTCTGTCAGAAAAAAGTTACATAGAGATTTTAAAGTGATTTGATGAGGTAATATTAAGCTACTATATTCTCTTAAATATTTATAAGCATGTGAACTTATAGTATTCAATATTGAACATAATATTAGAGTATCTCGTGAATATCTATATCTTTCTTTACGTATTGTTAGTAACTTTAACTGATCACAGATAAAAGTTAAAAATTTATTATTTTCAACGCATTTTAACGAATCTAGTAGATAACAAGCGTGACTGATAATTTTTTCCGTAGTACTATTGGCTTTATTTCGAAGCGAATCTTCAGAGGAGTGTTCTTTATCTGCAAAAACCAATAAAGTGTCGATTTCGTTTAATAAATCTATTAAATGGCTTATGTTGTTTAAAGAAAATGGAGTTTTTAACCCATTTGTATGAACAGTAATATTTTGATCATATAAATAGGTTTCTAATTTCAGGTCTAAATGTATGACTACTGAATAAGTTACAACAGGCATAGGAGAGAATGCAATCTTAAATAAAATAATCTCATTGTATTCATTAACCGCTTTTCGCCAGGGATCGGGAAGTATCCAGGTCTGGAAAATAGTATTAAATTCATCAAAAGTTTGAAAAGTAACTGCTTTTTCGGGTGCCAAACGTACTTCTGGGCTTTTCTTTTTTACTTGAACTAAATTTTGTTCATGCCGTAAAACATTATTTTCATCTTCACTTCCGGTAGTTTCATCTCCAGATTCAGAAATGTGTGATGGTCTATCTGGAAAAATAGTTGGCAAAGAACCTACTTTAAGCTTGGGAAATTTTAATGGAACCTCGATTACTTTCCCGGATTTTTCATCTGTATATGTATTATGCCATTTAAAACAATCCTTGTTGAAATGGTTCTGACAGACCTTGCTATGTTTGGAAACAACAAAATTTTCTCGACCAATTGCCCGAAGCCACTCTTTACGGAGATCATCATCTTTTGGAAAGCTATACACTCTCACATTGTTTTTTTGGTTATAATTGCCTCTACAACCAGGCACACAACACTTATTCGGCATAATGCAAATATAAATAATCGGAATACACGTAACAGACAGTACCAATAGTATTCTAAATCACTTACTTTTAAATAAATCACAGTATTGAGGCCATATTGAGGCTATTTAAAGTAAAAACAAAAATATTTACTGGTTTACAATTTGAAATTTAAAGTACGTCGGCCTTCGTTCTCCGCCTTGCTCTATGACGTATCAGATATCAGATCATTGAAAACATTTAGATTTACATTGGAGCCACACTACATTGGAAACGTCATAAATTCCACTTATTAAGAATAAGTAGAAATTTAAATTTACAGTTTGTATATTTCAATTATACTAATACAATAAGTAGATAGATATCTTAAGATGTATGTGATACCTCAATCAAATATCTCTATTTTTTTTGGTGTCATAAATGAAGTGGAGAGATCCGAAACATCTATTTATATGACGTCATGAATTCTCGATCGTTATCCCGTTAACGATGATCTATGAATATGAATGGACCGAACATAACCAAACATAACCAAAATCAAGTATAAATAAATAAAGTTTAATGTTATATTTTTAGTTTTTGAACTATGGCTTGTGCAACTATAAACTTTGAGAAAGTATGTAGAACATGTCTTTCTCAATCATCTGAAATGAGGTCTTTATTTAGTACTGAGTGTACAAATGAAAGTAACATTAAACTTTCCGATATGTTAAATTCATGTACAAGTTTGCAGGTAAATCCTTTGTAATCTTTTTATATCGGAATTAATATATATTTGATAGGTGATCGAAAATGATGGCTTACCTGGACAAGTTTGTTCCAAGTGTGTCGATTCCATTATTAGTTCTTGTTTGTTCGAACAACAATGTTGCAAGTCAGATTATACCTTGAAAGAACTCTTGTCCCAGGAAGTGGGCTCTACATTAGTTGAATTAAGACCCCTAGATGCATTACTAGGACAGACCTTGAATGCTCCATTAATTATAAGCGATTTATGTGATAATTTTCAGCAAGAATTTGGTGCCCCTTTACATAGTATAGATAATTCAAATAGCCTGCAGTCAGAAGAAAATGTGTCAGTTAATAATAGTGGGGAATTAAAGCATCTTGAATCTTTTTCTGAATTAGGAAATGAAAATAATTGTGCTTTAAATGCAAGAGTAGATGAAGATGAAACAAAGCAGCCTTTGTTTGCTTGCGAGACTGTTGGATGTTTTTCTTGTTTTACCACAGAGAAGGATTTGAAGGTAATATGAAATATAGTGATTTACAAATTTTTCTATTCAAAATTTATAATTCAAGAAACATAAAAGGAGTCATTCTCCGTTACCAATAATTCGTGTATGTAAAAAATGCAATCAGAAATTCTCCAGTGCTAGCACATTATCTAGACATTTGTCAACAGTTCATCAGGAAGGCAGTAAAAGGCATATGTGCAATGAATGCGGAAAAGGATTTGCTAGGTATTTTTTTATTTTATAAATGTATAGGGTGTCCCATTTTCATTTGTGAAACAGGAAGTGACCAAAAACAATTGAATACGTCAATCAATCCTAATTTATGTCATATACTAATATACCAAATCTCAATTTTTTATCTGAAAAAATTAAAAAGTTTAGAGCCACTTTTGAGACACACACGGTATATATTTGGTTTAAATAAATAAAATAAAATAATCCCCACATAAAATTTCATGGAACAAAAATGAAGAGAGTTAAATTCTCTACATTTTCATCTCTAAAGCTTGTTTCATATAGACGCGAATCGCGAATTGCGAAAAGCGATTCGCCAAAAAATATTCGCAAAATTTGGACCTATTATTTCATACAGTCGCGAATTTTTAGGGCCATGTCATTTTTGCTCCACTGAAAGACTGAAAGTTACCAAAAAAAACATAACCTGAGATAACTTAATTTGTTTTATACATATTTATTCGTGTTTACGATCTTTATTTTATATTTTATAGCGTACAATATGAGTTTAAATTTGTTTAATAATTATGAATATCAATTACGATTGTGGGATTGGAATAGAATAAGGTGTAAAATTGCCATTTACTTATTGTTAAAACGTAGAAGAGAGCGGGTTTTATAGCACAGGTTTATAGGTCATTTATGGGTCATTTGGGACATGTGAAATATTCAAATTTCGCAAGCAACAAGGTGCTTGTCGCAATTTAATTTAAGAAATAAGGAAAAAAAATGAGAAAAAATTTAGGAATTTTCACAGATTATCTGTATAGGAGTTTGATAACTTGGTTGAAGTTGAAAAATTGTCACCATACATATCAAAAACATATTATGCATGAGAACCCATTTCAACTGGAGGAATGCTTTCATGAATGCTTTCAGTTACTTTGCGGCAGCGTCGTCAAAATAATCGATAACCGGATCACAACACCATTCTGCGCAAACGCAAACCTTAAAATCGCGCGAATATTCGCAGAAAGTTGAAAACACTTTAAGTTTCCCGCCCCCCAAATTTTAAATCTTGCGAATCGCCAAAATCTTAAAATTTCTGACAGCGCCGCCATGATCAGTAAAATTGGACCAATGAGAGCAGTTTTGCAAAATCGCGATTCGCGATTCGCGTCTACGTGAACAAGGCTTAAGTAACAAACCTCTACTCTTTACTTTACAAAACTCTTTACTTTTAAAAACTTGGCGACAGTAAAAAATGGTTTCACCCGGAAAAATGCAAAGAACTGCGTTTAGGTGACTTTGGCGCCCTCTAACATTGTCCTCGTAGGTTTTAGAGGTTTGTTACTTGGAGATGAAAATGTCGAGAATTAATTTCTCTTTATTTTTTGTTCCATAAAATGTTCTGTGGGACTTACAGTTCAGGCAGAAAATCGAATTCAAACTTTTTTCAAAAAAAAAAAGAATTTCTCAAAAACGGTGGGGTGAAGTGAATTTTTGAATTTAAGCTTTTCTAGTGGACTACTTACGACTGGCAAAGTATGAGAGCGGGGGTAATTTGATAGAAGTTAAAGGTGTCAGATTGACTGTACTAACTGGACTCTACGTGAAAAACTCCACGGAACTCCGTTTTCACCTTTTCGATAAGTTATAACTAAGATACGAAGGATCTCAAAAAATGCTAAATTTTTAAATTTGCCCTGTTTTCCAAAATACGAGAAGGCTAGGGCAAATCTGTGTGTCGCGTTTTTAGTTTCATAAAGAAGTAGGACAGTTATGTGAAAACCGCATTTTTGTATCTCTACTCATAAACAAGAAACCCTGTAAAACACATGAAAATGGCACACCCTGTATATACAGGTTGGCGCACCTCATTCGCCTCGGTTGATTATACGAAAACAGAAAGATGTAGAAACAAAATATTTTATGAGTATATGTGGGGAGGCATTGTGGCACAATTTAAAATTATTTTGAAATATACAGGGTGTCTCAGAACTAAGATCCATACCAAAGTTATATTTTTTCTTATGGAACACCCGGTATTTTATTTCATTTTTGGATTCTTGGGCCTAAACAAGCCATTTATTATAAAGGTTAAATATGTTTAAAATATTTGGTTTTTGAGATATTTAAAGATATTTGAATATGGATGCTACAAAAGAATAAATTATTAACACCCTATACATTACTTTTCAGAATTAATTCTTGTGCTGAGTTTAAAGGTAAAGAAATAAACTTTACTGAAAAATGTTATTGCTTCATTCATTTATACAGGGGTACCAAAAATTGGTGATCTATTTTTAGGATTTATTTTACATAAAAACTTTGTTATTTCAAATTCAACACCCTGTATTTTTTTTAAATAAATCGAAGCTGATTCAAATGCTCTTTCAAACTATATTAGGGTTTCCTATACCTATCTATCTCAGATTTTAAATAAAAAGCGATTTTAAATAAGATGGCTGGTATCGCCATGGTAATTTTCTAGTGACAGTTAGTAACTATTTTTAAAGTCGACATTAGTTTATAGACTTTATTTAAATTTATACCAGTTTACTTTTATTTAATTTACCTACAATAGTTAAATAAACAATATTTATTAATATGTATTTATTATTCTATCAAGAAAAACGAGAAGTAATTCTTTGTTTTATTTTACCCTTATATTATTTACCAACTTGTAGATATATTATGGATTTCTATAAAAGAGCCAATTAACGGCAAATTCAATTTCTTCACTTCCAACGACAGGTTTCTGCCTCATAGGTTTTTTATAAATTACACTAGCAACTCTGCGGAATAGGAAATAGGACAAGTAGTTTTTTAAATGAACACTTATCAGGAAGATTCCTATTTGGTTATCTTTGAACATAGCTCTTAAGGCTAAGAAATAATTTTCCTCACAAAATAAAATTACTAGTAACATATCCATTCGTTCCGCCAGAAGATACGGCTTTATTTTTCTTCATAAAATAAAGAATACTTACTTATTAAACTATTGTGAGTAAATTTTAGTAAACTTTAAATAATAATGTCTATAAACTAATGTCGACTTTGAAAATAGTTACTAACTGTCACTAGAAAATTGCCATTGCGATACCACTGATACCAGCCATCTTGATGGCCATTTTATTTAAAATCCCTTTTTATTCAAAATCTGAGATAGATAAATACAGGAAACCCTAATATAGTTTGATTCAATGTTTGTTTGTTCAATTGTGCACATTGCCTGCCCACCTATACCCATAAAATATTTTGTTTCTACATCTTTTCGTTTTTGTATAATCAACCGAGGCGAATGAGGTGCGCCACCCTGTATAAAGCTGTAATGTTTTTTATATGTGTGTATAGGTCTGATGATTTAAAAAGACATTTAAGAACGCATACAGGAGAGAAACCATTTCAGTGTAAACTATGTGGAAAAGCCTTTGCCCAGTCATCCAAGTATGATAAAGGAATTAATTAATTTCCTATACATTTAAGTTCTTTGTTTTTTTATTTACATAGGTTAGTGGAACATACAAGAGCTCATTCAAACGTTAAAGATTTTCTTTGTTTAGTATGTGGTAAAGCTTTTGCAAGATATACTAGTTTAATGGCACATAACAAAACACATACTGGCATCAAGACTCACGAATGTAGGGAATGTGGAAAAATGTATGTTTACTCCTATTTATTTCCAGCAGTTCATGAATTTGTTGTAGGCTGTGCGGTTCAGGTTCATTACAAATGCATATGAAGACACACACAGGCGAGCGTAATTTTATGTGCAATTTTTGCGATAAGACTTTTACATCTCAAAGTAATTTGACCATTCATATAAGGACTCACACAGGTAAGCCAAAAGTAAAGGAAAGGCAATGAAATGATAAGTACTCTTCCTTTAACTACATTTTATGTTTATTTCTTTGAACAGGATGTTCAATGATATGCTAATATTTAAGGGGACGATTCAAAATCACATGAATGTATGTACAGGGTGGTCGAAATTGGTCTATTTTAACAGAGAAAACCTATTTCCCGACTAGATAGTCATGGGCTCGATTTCTGAGACGTTTAATGGCGAAAACCGCCTGTTGATAGTTTCACTGCCAACTGAGATAACATTTTGAAAATTGCCGACACTTTTTTTTTTCGCGGAATAATAAAATTCTGGAAAGACGTTCTTAAGGCACTTTCTTAAACACAATCCAGTGGCGGAGTAAGTTTTTTTCTATACTGGCTCTTTTTGTCAGAAATAATAAAAAATATAATTTTTTAAATGGAAATCATAGTTGGCTATGATCTTAAAAAAATGCTGGCGTTTAACCCTTTCCAGCGATATAAAGTTATGTGTATTTATTTCAAAGAATAAGAGAAATATTAGGTTTTTTATCTTTGTATCGAAGCAGGCCTTGATTTTGTGTTGACCTAGTTGCCTAATTATTTTTTATCATAATTTAATATTCTATATTATTATTTATCTGCATAATTAAGGACTTTTGAAAAGGTAAATTAACATTCTATATTAGTATTACTATTTACAATGAAAACGCCAGGGTTACAACTGCACTATTAAATGGAGAATTTAGAGAGAATTTGATTGGAACAAGGGGCCTCATATTTTGGCCCCCATATAGGGGAAATTAAAAGACCTTATATATGTGTAAGGAAAGAACCATTGGGACGAGAGGACGAGAGAAGAATTGCAGAAGGTTACTAGGCAAGCTTTTAAACTTATTATACCAGTTCGCCTAATAAATCGTTGTAACTCTGTGCGCAAAAGATGTTTATTGTGTATTTAATAAGGAGGTGCTCAGTTTGAACATTTTTAATGATTTTTTTAGGAAACTATATTCGTCACTCAAAAAATAGTTTTTTTTAGTTTTGTTTTTTATTTATTATATCAATTTCAATTGTAATTACTAATACTAATAATACATAATGTTAATTTATCTTTTCAAAAGTCTTCATTAAGCAGATAAATTAATAATAATATAGAATATTAAATTGTGATAAAAAATAATTAGGCAAATAGGTCAATACAAATTCAAGGCCCGCTGGATAAAAAGACGAAAACCCTAAATTTCTCTCATTCTTAGAAATAGATACCCATAACTTTATATCGTTGGAAAGGGTTAAACGCCAGCATTTTTTAAGTTAATAGCCAACTATGATTTCCATTTAAAAAATTATATTTTTTATTATTTCTCATAAAAAGACCAAGCATAGAAAAAAAACTGACTACGTCACTGAATTGTGTTTAAGAAAGTGCCTTAAGAACGTCTTTCCAGAATTTTATTATTCCGCGAAATAAAAAAGTTTCGGCAATTTTCAAAATGGTAAAAAATTCAAAAAGGCCCCGTATCTCAGTTGGCAGTGAAAATATCAACAGGCGGTTTTCGCCATTAAACGTGTCTCAGAAATCGAGCCCATGACATCTCTATGTCGGTTTTGCTCTATCTAGTCAGGAAATAGTGTTTCTCTATTAAAACAGACCAATTTCGACCACCCTGTACTTTTAATTAACAGTAAAACTTTAATACTTCCCTTAAAATTTTATTTTTTTTATCAAAAAATTCCCCAAATGCAGGCTTAAAATTTCGCTTATTTCAACTTTAAAACTTGATAATTGACAAAAAATAATTTCCGGGTTCCGGCATAGGGTTTCCGGCCCCTTAAAATCGGATAAATGGTATTTTTAAAATTTCAATGTCAATCTTAATTTGTACGTCCCTTTCAGGTGAGAAACCTTATATTTGCAAAACGTGTGGAAAAGGTTTTCCTGATCATTCTCGTTTAAATGTTCATATGAGGATTCACAGGTACCTGTATAGTAAAAATAAAGTATTTCCAGAGTTAATTAATAATTTTTAGCGGTGAAAAACCCTATATATGCTCATATTGTAACAGAGGATGTGTTAGTTCTTCTCAGTTAAAGAAACACGTCCGTATCCATACAGGAGAAAAGCCCTATGGTTGTAACTTGTGCTCTAAAAAGTTTAGTAGAGGAGAAGATTTAAAAGTACATATGAAAATTCATAAAGGTAAAGTGTATTTACTTTTGTATCATTTTGCTAAGATACAGTAGAGTTTTGGTTATCTGAACATCGCGTCGCCTTGGTTAACCGAGCGAACGCTTAAACTGTTGATGCATGGTGTTGATTAACATTTGGATTCCTATAAGGTTGGTACGCCTTTTTATATTCTCTATAGAATGCCTTATCCTAAATATTTATAATTATATTCTTTCTCAAGACCATAGTACTGGAATAATTGTCAGCTCGGGGGCTTGGAACACCCTCAAAAGGACAATTTCATTTCTCCAACTCCCAGTGGATGACATACCAAGAGTATACAGAGACATACCTCACTGTAATGCTGAGCAATAAAAAGGATTGGAAGACAGAAACGTTTGCTCAGCAGGTAAAAGACCATACCATAACGTGGTATAGTGATGCTTCCAAAATCAAAGCAAAAACAGGGATAAGAGTACCAAGAAATATTTGAAGATTCCATCCTGCTCTACTCAAGTGGGCGAATTGACTATTTGATCAGCCAACTCTTTAATTACTTGTCAGTATCTTCAAACTTGTGGCAGTTATCTCTCATTTCATTTCAAAAGTAATGTTTTTCTTTCTGTCAACTTTTGGATGCCGTTCGTCAAAATCGTCCCTTCTACCGCTAAACAGTCTTTATGCTATTTGACGCATGCTTGCCACCCTACGAATGGTGTACATTGGAAAGGACACATACAATTCTCTTACAATCTTATTGTATATGATGTAAATATGGTATGATAAACTTTGAAAAGGTGATTCCTTTTTGGGTAAGGGGCCTATTCATATACTTGATTTTTTCTCATTTTTCGTTTTTCTCAAGTCACGTTTTTAGGTAGAGTTGAATTTGTGAATTGGCCAAAAACTAAATACTCCGAACCAATGGGTACCTACCCCAGCACCCTCCAGGCAGAAAATTACGCTATCGAAAAATGCGTACAACTTATCTTAGATAGGAACTATCGCATACAAGAAATATCCATCTTATCCAATCGTCAAGCAGCATTAATTAAAACCGATCAACTCAATAACCATCGTTTCAAAGTTGGTCAAAGAATGCTTGGGGAAGCTTATCAACTTAAGCAAAGAAAATAAAGTCATCCTACTCTGGAAACTCAAGAACCTGGAAGATTACGTTCATAGCCTGGAATGGGAATCCTCCAACAGTCTCGAAGACACTCGAAGAAATTTCAGAGAACTTACGTCCAAGAAAATTAATTTTCTTGATTTAAGTAAGAGCAACCTTCGGATTGTCACGGGGTTTTTAACAGGACACTCCTCAATTAACATCTCAGTAGATTGAAGCTAACAAAAAATATCTGATGGAGATTCTGTGGGGAGAATGGGAAACACCAGAACACCTCATCGCCGAGATGACAACCATTCGTGCCATAAATTTTGGTACCACTCACATTGGAGATAGAGAACTAACTTCTGTAAAACCGTCTCAGATACTGGATTTTGTCAAAGCCTTGGCACTGTATGATGAGTTATACCTAACTCAAGAATAGAGTTAGAAATATCTACTTCCCCCTCTCATACGTTCTACATTCTCGAGATGGTGAGCAATTTTGTTGGGATGGTTAATGATTTAGAAGAGAAGCAGGTTCGGCGGTACCAAGAGATATTTGGAGATTCCATCCTTTGTGCTCTACTCAAGTGGGTGAATTGACCATTTGTTCAGGCAACTCAGTTAGTATCTTCAAGCTTGTGGCAGTTATCTCTCATTTTAGGCCAGTAAGCGAGGGTTTTAGGGTCCGAATTCTGAATACATGCACCGATTGACGTGAAATTTTAACAGTGCATATAGATATATGGAAAAATTAAAACAACTTTGGGTGTGCGTCATCAATGACACCAAGCGCATTTATATGTAAATTGCTGGTGGCCACCTTGTGACGTGCACCCAAAGTTTTAATTTTCCCATATGTAAGAAACAAAAGTTACATAGTAACGATGTGTGCTCTAACCTCATTAAATCACCCATTTTAATTGCAAAAGTCAAGGGATGAATTCTAAGCAAAAAATGTTCTATAACATTTTTTCAGAAAATTAATATTTTCTAGTTATTTAGGATTGGAAATGTTGATTTTTCATCTAAAAACTCCATATTTTTCTGTCACTTTTTATAAATAACTCGAAAACCTTGCGTTTTATCGCAAAACTCATATAAAGCAGAAATGAAGCTTTTGGAATAACTAAACGATTCGTTTTTGTTGATTAGCGTAGGTGTAATAATAGCCGAGTTATCACTCTGTAAAGGTGATTTTTTATTTTTTGAAAACCAAACCAAACGTTTTACCTCAAACAATGGCGAAAGAACACATTTTTCGAAGAAAATGAATATGGCCGTTTTTAAATTGCTTGAAAAGGCCTTTTAGAAGCCTTAAAAAAGTTAAGTTATGATAAAAATAATTTGATGATTTAAAAAATAAATATAATCAAAATAATTTGGTTACCTCGTTTTTTCGGAAAAAAATTAACAACAAAATCTATGACTAAAATCATAAAAAATAAAAACTGAGCGTAATACATGTAGGTACGGTTGGCTCTATTTAGGTACTAACAATGGGCTCTGCATGTTCGAGCGATTTAGAATTTAGAGTTATCACTTTTACAGAGTGATAACTCGGCTATTATTACACCTATGGTAATCAATAATAATATACAGGGTGAGTTTCCTACGATGTTCTCTATGGGTATCTCGGAAACTACTGGAGATAGAGAGTCAGTTAAATGGGGAAAGAATTGCAGTTTTGTGGGGTCATAAATATGCGCCTTTCAGATTTTTGAAAAAGTTCATGGCTTACTAGATATTTCGAAAAAAACAAATTTCGGCTATTTTAAAAATTGTCTCTAATTCCATTATAAGCTATTTTAGACAAAAAGTTTTCAGATAAAAGTTGTAGATAATCACATCCTTTAATGATGTTCTGTCCTCCATTTTTTTCTAAAACCTATCGTTTTTGACATATGATACAAACATATGTTTTTTTAAATGGAAACCTTAGTTGGCCATGGCTTCATAAAAAGCGCCATTTTTCAGGCTTTTCAGCGATATAAGCTATAATATGTTTTCTTCGCAAAATTATCTTCGCATTTAACCGATTCTCTATCTCCAGTAGTTTCTGAGATACCCATAGAGAACATCGTAGGAAACTCACCCTGTATATAATAATGAATCGATTTGTTATTCCAAAAGCTTCATTTTTGCTATATATGAGTTTTGCGATAAAACGCAATGTTTTCGAGTTATTTATAAAAAATGGCAGAAAAATATGCAGGTTTAGATGAAAAATCAAACATTTTCAACCCTAAATATCACGAAAATATTAATTTTTTGATAAAATGTTATCGAACATTTATTGCTTAGTAATAATTAATTCATCCCTATATCGATGTTTGCAATTAAAATGGGTGATTGATTTTTTACCCCCGAGAAGGATGGCACTCACCCTCAGGGTGAAAGCACACAAGCTACTAGGTAACTGTTAAAATTTCACGTGAACCGGTGCGGGTGTCAAGAATTAGGAGGTAATACCCTATTTTTATTCTCGCTTACTGGCCTATTTTAATTTAAAAATATTTTTTTTCTTTTTGTCAACTTTTGCATTCCGTTCGTCGAAATCGTCACTTCTACCGCTAAACAGGCTTCTGACGCATGCTTGCCACGCTACGTAGATGCGTACCTTTAAAAGGATAGATACAGTTCTCTTACAATTTATTATAAATAAGTATAATAAACTTTGAGTTGGTGATTTCTTTTTTAAAAGTAAGCAGCCTATTAGCATTCAGAATAATTGCAAAGAAATTCTATGGCCTAATTTGATGACTTGAGAGCAATGACGCTCCAGTTAAGGTGATGTGGTCTTCTCCGGCGAAAAATCCTCCTTAATATTCTTTCAAATCAGATGGCCATTGTCTTTTACGTCTTGTTGTATGTGCTGGTTCAAGTAGAGGCCGAAGTAAGGTATTAGTGTGATCATGTAGTCTATTGAAATGTTTTTTGCTCCGAGTTTGGATGACTTCTTTGAGGTACGGGATTTTTAAGTTCATGTAGAGTATGAGTGGAGACATACCATATGGTGCGTTTGTTATCATCTGTAGAATTTTGGATTGGCTCCTTTATATTAAGGCTATATTTGATTTACTAGCGTATCCCCAGAGTTCTGCTTCATATGTCCAAACAGGTATTATTATGGTTTTATATAAAAGAAGTTTATTCTCTAGCGATAGTTTAGATCGTCTTCCTATTAACCAATATAAGTCTTCAAATTATTACTTACTTATTTTCAAATCTATTTGCTTACGTTTCTTTCGAAAGTACTTGATGGAGGAAGACTACGGAATTAGTGTGTTGTTTAAGTATACCGGAGGGCACTGGTCTCTAATAATTAAACTAAAGTAATTTCGGACTTCCGTTGTCTCTATTTTGCTTACACTAATAAAAACAATGGAAGCCCGAAATTCTTCCTCTATTACATTTAGATGTCTTTGCAATATCATGGAAGCTGTTGCCGGCTTTTTGTCGACAGCCATAATTACTGTGTCATCTGCAAAAGTAGCCGTTGTTACTTTATTGTTTGTGGGAAAGTCTGCTGTAAAAAGGACAAGAGTGGTCCTAAAGCACTACTTTGTGGAACACCTGCATTTATGCTATAATTTGCAGATACATCCTCACTACATCCTTACTTATATTCATATGAATGAGGTTTTTTATCATTTTGCGTTTTTCTCTAGAGAGTCATGTTCTTACTAGAGTTTTATGTTTAGTACGATTTGTGAATATATCAAAATATACTATAAAATCAAAATTAGCATGTTTGAAGTTGATTTCGATGACGTTTATACCGAGATTTTGTATGTTAGTATATGACATAAATTAGGAATGATTGACATATTCAATTGTTTTTGGTAATTTTCTGTTTCACCGGAAATGACTACGACTTTTGATTTTTAAATGGCACCCACGGAATTTTTTACTTTATTTAATAGAAAATGACATTCTGAATAGAATGATATATCATATTACGTCAACTTTTGACATTCTCGCTTAATAAAAAATTGTATTTTAAATTTCAATCTAAAGGGCCATGGCAATGTTAAAAACGCTAATTCTTAATCAAGGAGCCTTGGAAAAATAGATTTGATCGTCTAATATTGTTAGTGTCTTGTCCTGGCAAGTTAGAAAATGCCTAAATCGTTTTTTTAATTATATATTTGTTTTCAAATGGAACGAGGGTGACTCATTAGCATATTTAGAAAAAGCATTTTTTTACGAATAATTAAATCCCCCCCCTCCCCCCCACTTGGTATTTCGAGTCAAAAATTTTCGTTACGAACCGCAAGTTATAATTTCAAATAAACCATATGCGAAAATGTCAAAAGTTGACATATGATATGTCATTCTATTCAGAGTGTTATTTTCTATCGAATAAAGTAAAAAATACTGAGGGTGCCATTTAAAAATCAAAAGTCGTAGTAATTTCCGGCGAAACAGGAAGTGACCGAAAACGATTGAATACCGTCAATCAATCCTAATTTATGTCATAAACTAACATACCAAATCTCGTTTTTTTGCCTGAAAAATTAAAAAAGTTATAGGAGCGAGCCACTTTTGAGACGCACCCGGTATATAATTATAGAACCATACATTGAAAAAACATTGTTACAATCATCATGTCTTTCTTCTTCGTTATCATCACAGTTGTCGGTTACATCCTTCATCATTTGCAACAGTTTGAAGACGTTTACCTCTCCCTGGGGCGCTATTCTGTAAAATCGTCGGTATCGGTAAGTTACGACAGCTCTCGGTACGTATTTGTATATAGTAAAAATGTGTTAATTGTTGTTGTCATAGTTACCGATCGGCCCTATGGCAGATATCGCATATTTGTACCGACGAAAATCGGTATCTCTACTTGTTAAACTCACGGTAGACATACTGAGAGTCGTCGGAACAAATTTGCGATATCTGCCATAGGGCCGAGATCGATAACTATGACAACAACACGACGCTTATTGGCCGTACGTACCGATAGCTGTCGGGAACTTACCGATACCGACGATTGTACAGAATAGCGCCCCTGGGCGGATGGCATCAAAGGCCCTAAAAAATCCGAAAGTAAAATACTAAAGTTTTATATAGATGGTTTCAGCTGCCAATCAATGATGATTTCTATTGGGTAGATCCCCAATATACCATTTATTAAAAATTGAGATAAAAATTTGTAAAACTTAAATATTTAACTGGAAAAAAAATTTCAACTTTCAAGACACGTTAAGGCAATTTTTTAAAAAGTAAATGTGTTGTAGATTTTTCCTTTTTTTTTCAAAATTGAATATTGTTTTTTGGCGGTTTATGTAAATTTTAAATAAATGATATAGGATTATCATTTTACAGGCAACACCTTTTTTCATATGGGTCATTTTAGGTGAAAGGGATTACGTCTGCACTATTTGTCAGAAAGGTTTCTATCAGTCCAACACACTGAAGGTACACATGAGGATACATACGGGAGAAAAACCATACTGCTGCTGTATATGCGGAAAGAAATTTTCACAGACAGGGCCCTTCTCAATACACATGAGAACACAACACCAAGTCAGTATGGATGGAGTTCAGAATCTCGAAGGAAAACTTATTCAATATTTATGAACTGTAATATTGTTAAATATTGAATATAAAATAATTTATCAGCATGTTCGCCTTTATGATTGCTCCTCATTTTTCAATAATCATTTAAGAATATACACGATGTTCCTTAATGACATGCTATTATTTAAGAGGGTGATTCTTGGACCTATTCTAAGAGAAAAACTTTATATGAATGTATATCAAAAACATCTTAATTTCTGAGATACAGGGTGGTGAAATATTCTAAAAAAAACATTTTTTCATAATAACTCTCATTTTATTACAGGTATCTTTATGAAACTTGATACACGTCTTCTATGCATCAAAATACCTTTTTTGATGTACAAACAATTTTATTTATTTCAACCAGTCAGTGCCGTCCATACGGGTTTTACATGGAATACTCTTAAAATAAAAATTATTTTCAAAATCTCCATTCATTTGGCATGTGTTTATTTCTCACCAATATATGCTACTGAGCATCTTTTAACTGGCCAGGACAAGACACGAAAAACACTAGACGATCAAATCTATTTTTCCAAGGCTCCTTAGTGTTTTTTAAAACAGCCATCGCACTCTAGATTGAAATTTAAAATACGATTTTTTAAGCGAGAATGGTAAAAGTTGACATATGATATGTCATTCTATTCCGAATGTCATTTTCTAACAAATAAAGTAAAAACCCAGGATGCTAGTTAAAAATCAAAAGTTGTAGTTATTCTGGTGAAACAGGAAGTGACTGAAAACAATTAAATGCGTGAATCAATCCCGATTTATGTCATATACCAACGTACCAAATCTCGTTTATCTGAAAAAATAAAAAAGTTATAGGGGCAGCCACCTTTTTAGAAACACCCGGTATATTCTGGAGCGGTTTCCTTCGTTTGTCTTTCGGACTATACGGAGTCGGGGATTCACATGATAAAGACAACAGACTCACTACGCACGCGTAACACAACGAATCAAAACCAACCGCCGAACAGCTAACTTTTCATTTATTAGCAGTTGTGAGTGTTGATGTTTTTGTTCTGCTGCCTGACAGCTCAAAGGGAAATGTTGCTATTAAACATTTATCATATGAAAAATCTGGCTTAAATCTCTTATAAAAAGACTTCAGTATTTTAAAAAAATTAAGTCTCTTCTCAAAAAGACTTAAATCCTTTAAAAACATTTAGCCTTTCTAACGACTTAATAAGTATTTCTATTTCGCTGATTTAAATCACAAATCATTTGAAAAATTACTTAATATATGTCTTAAGTCAGCTTTTGAAAAATGACTTAAAATGAAATTACTTAAGTCGTTAAAATTACTTAAACCAAAAAAAGACATGTTTTCTGTGAATTTGCAGCACTTTTCCGTGGTTTTGCAGCTCTAATCCCGTGGTCTAAAAGGAATATTTAAGAATGTCAATTATAAACTTCTGTATAGTGCTAATAATAAATTACAACAATTATTAGGTTGCAGGTAGGTATGAAATTTCTTAAAAAGATTGTAATCAGAAATATGTTGGATAAACTAGATCAATATTAACTAGATTTAAAGAACATTTAGAGCAGATAAGATATGATAGACTGGATAAATCTTGCGTTGTTGAACATATTGTTGATAAAGAACATTTTATAGATCTTAATTTAAAATTAACTAAACAAGTCTCAAATTACAGGCAATTAGATGCATATGAAAGCATCAGAATTAATAAATATAAAGATAGTATGAACAGAGGCAACGGTCCAATTCCTTCCAATTCTTTGTTCCTACTATTCTAATTGCGGAAATTTAATTCTTACTTTCGGTGGGCTGACGCGGTTGGCTAGATCTTGCCACGCCCACTCGGTACCCACTGAGCGAGTATAAAAAGGCTCAAATTGTAGATTTTAGTTTAGTTTTGATCATCTACTGATGATGCTATCATGGTTAGCGAAACGCGCGTCCACTGTAAAAGTAAAAGTGTTTTGGTATATTGTGGTGATTTAGTGTTTTATTTTGCCGTGTAACACCAACGGTTCCAACCCCCCCAACTGTAAGCTCTGAAAGTGATACATATTTTTGTAACAATAAAACAAAACATTTTGGGTGTTATTAAATTTATTAATATAGTAGTATATACAAATACACAGAACATCTTATTTCACCTATGAAAACCTATGTTTGTATAATTCTTTCGTGTAATAAATTGTGCAAAAATAACCGGGACGGCAAACCATTTCATTATCGGAATATCACCATTATTTTTATAACCCTGACTACGTGTAGGCCGATTTCCTGGATCTTTCGTTTTTTTCTAATTGTCGCAAAATACATTTAGTTTGATTATTCTTATTCGTTACATTGATAGTTTATTTTACCCCATTTATTCGAGTTATCACAGAACAATTTAAATATGTCCCTGGTAGGCTTCGCAATTAAAAATAAAATACAGGGTCCACTAAGTTTAATGTATAGGCTCAATAAAATTAAAATCGATCACAAAAAAATAATCTCACTATTTCATATTTTTGATTTTGGAACTTGGTTTTAATAATAATATTGGAAAAATATATGTATAGAACAATATATAGATCAATTGTAAAAATTAGGTACGTATCATATAAATTAAACATTATGTAGTCAAAAAAAGTCCACTCATTTAACAATGAAAATAAAAAACATGCACCAAATTAATTAGAACAATCTAAAAAATCACTTTTAATTACCAAAAAATGACCAATAAAATAATTTGCATGCAGCCATTTATTAAGTATAAATATTGAATATATATTATATTTTGTTAAAAGTAAAAATCTTTGTATACAGGGTGTCCTAGGCTGAGCGTGCATTAGAAGTTTCGAGAGAACTGCAATACCTAGATCGGACATTTTTGTACATTATTGTTTCACAACGAGATGTATCGATTAAAAATATTTTCAATATGGCGGCACTTCCGGAAATACCGGAAGTTGTCAACTTCCGGTATTTCTATAATAACGCATAGATGGCGCCACTAACATGGAACCATTTTTTAGTAAGACACTTTCCTTTCTTTTTCTTGTCATATTCTTTGCTCTATAACTAACAATTTGACAACCGTTTTTAGAAAAAAAAATATTTAAAATTTTTGTATGAAAAAAAACTGCCTGTCAAAAAAATGTGTATAGCCTAAACGTCAAATTTAGTGATTACCACAGCCACTGTGGCATAAAGAGAAGACGTGGTTTAGTAGGTCTATGGTTTTAAACGTCAAGTGATGTAAAACAATAGATCTGGCTATGACATATTGTCACATATTGTTCAAAAAGCACTATGCCATCGATCATCATTTCCAAGCCAACTGCGTTTTTTTTTTCGTGCATACAGTATATTATTAATAATATCTACTATATTTACTAAAGAGCGAAAATACGAGGTACATTTTTATAAATAACACTTTTTAAACTCTTAAGTAGCAGTATTTATAATGTAGGAAATTCAAATAATAATTATTTTTGGAAATAAACTGTCTGATTGTCTGAGACTTAATGTCAAAGGAAGCTAGATAAAATCAAGAAAAATACGTTTTTAATCTAAATCTCAAATAACTTAAAAACGATTTATTTTAGGTATAGGAACATGTATAACTACTAATAGCTCCGCCTGACAGCTACCGCCATTAATATATGGCATTCCAACAATTTAATTTTTGAAATAGCTACATGTCTTCTCTTTATGTCACAGTGGCTGTGGTAATCACCAAATTTGACTTTTAGGCTATACAAATATTCTTGACAGGCAGTTTTTTTCGTCCAAAAATTTTAAATATTTTTTTGTCAAAAACGGTTAATGTTAGATATATAATATTTAACATTAATATTCATAGAATTTTGCAGAGAATTTAAGTATGTAATAAAAAATAGGGGCACCCATTTAAAATAAGAAAGTTGCTGTCAACTTCCGATAATTCCGGAAGTGCCACCATATTGAAAATATTTTTAATCAGTGAGACAGATATCGTTGTAAAATAATGATGTGCAAAAAATCTCCGATCTAGATATTGTAGTTCTCTAGAATCTTCTAATACACGGTCAGCCTGGGACACCCTGTGTATGTAATCAATTTTACCAAAGTAATATTTGTTATGAGTATTTACTGAATGCATAAAATTCGTCAGAAAATAACAAATATGCTGAAAATTTCTTCAAACTTTGTAGCGTCGATTATTGTCAATTATTCATGTTAAATAAATATTTTTCATTCAACTAACCTCGACTAAAATCTGAAATTCATAAATTGAAGATATTTAAGTTGTCACATTTTAGTGTAACGTGTAATTATATTAAAAAATATTTATTAAACCATGTTCAGTAAATTAGTAAGTTGAAATATGTTAACCAAAATGTATGTACAATAAGAAAAGTTTTCGTGAAACATCTTGTTTTAAGACAGGATCAGTTAAACAGCTAATATTTTTCAAATTTTAAGAATCGAAGCCTTAGCATTAAGAGCGGATTTTAAACCATAAAATTTACTCCGGTATATAACTAAAAAATATACACCCTGTATTTTACAGAAGAATCTTTCACGAGCTACCAAATAGATCACAACGTTGCGTTACTAATCAAAAAGGCCACTTTTTTCCCTAAAAACACTTACAAAGCTCAATTACATTTACGCGTGTATGTTTTTCTATAATAACGCATACTCGAAAATATACTATATTTTAATTTGATTTTAACCGTATACTTATCACTATATATTATAATAAAACAAAATTGTCTGATTTTTCTAGTGATGAGTGCAAAGATAAAATCAAAGTGTGGTTGGTAGTCCAATATATCATAAAACTACATTTTTTGTAAAGGAAAAAGACTATAAAAAACTTAACTTATCAAACCTAACTCTAAACCTATGTTACAAGGACCAAGAGATTCTAAACAATTAATAATAGTATTAATATAAACATATACATACACTTACAGAGGGTTTTAAACATTTTACTTAAATCGATCCTTTGGTAAAACTGTTTGTCTTAAGTCACCCAAATATCTATTTTGTACTGTTTAACCAATATGTAACTACATAAAAAGTGCTATTAAAATTTCAAACCGCACAAGTAGGCCTTTACGAAAAATGTTGCATTTAGGGTTGGAACTTTATTTTTCACTATTAGTTACTCATTTTACTACAACTGTAGTAGATTATATTCAGTTAATAATAATACATGAAAGTTTTAGCTTATATTTTTATATAAAAATAGCTTATATTTTTCTACACACATTTTCCTACAAACGTAAAGAACCGGCAACACTGTATGCCGCATTTGATTTTGTCTGTCTGTCAACCACAAAACATCCCCCTTTAGAACTTCGTCTGTCATGTTAAGAAATGAAAGTAAATAATAAAGCGCCTCTCGTGTTTGTTCGCACTCAAAAAATTTCAATTAATGCCTGTATATATTTTTAATATATTTTTTAAATTTACATTTTTTAATTGTAAAGTAATATATTACATTTAAATGGAATATATTACATAACAATTGTTAAATTTACAGGATTATAAGCTTTGTTTTCTAACATTTTTTAAATAAAACGAATTATAAAATTTCAATATATGTATATTTGTCGTAGGTATGAAAAAAGTAAAATATAAAATGAACAAACGCTTACTTACATTGCAATAAAACTTCCACTTTTAGTTTTGCAATCCAAACGCAATATTTCTATTTCACAATAGAATTTCACAAATAGAAATATCCGACAACACTAAAATCACTGAAACTTCCGCGGCTGACAACGATAACTGAAAAATATAACGGCACTTTTTGTTTTGGACCTGCATATCAACATTACGCTGTACTATTATGTGTTTGTTGTTGAAATAATATAAAATATCGAATTATAACTTGTAAATTTTAATATTTTAACATGATTTTAACTACTTTTGACAATAACTAACTTTTTGTTATCAAGATGACATTTTAGACGGCAACTGACATATTATATGTCATAATATTTGAATCTTAAATATGTATGTAATATAATTTAAATTACTATAATGCGACTTTATACTAAGAAAACATTTATACATTCACAAAATACAACAAAGTCTATAAATATAATTTGGAAAACAATAATTATTGAATTAAAATTGAAAAAGTTAAGCGCGACCCCTTGTGTCAAAATTAGATGATTAAATTTTCGCAATTTTTACACCATTTGATGACCGGTGGTGCCTCTAGTGTTTGTTCGGGCGGTTGGTCTTTTACTCCCGCTTATGGCCATTAAAGAAAAAGTTCTAAAGGGGGATGTTTTGTGCTGTCAACCGGCCATTTATATTATTCCCTGTCACACAAAATCCAGACCACATAAATTGGATGACCAGCAGGGTATGTGTATTAAACTTTACTCAGCAAAACTGTAGTAAAAGAACACCTATCAAAAAATTAGTGTTTAATTTAGGATCGTTTTTATATCTCTAAGCACATTTAATAACTATTGCATATAATATGACGTTGTTGATTGTATTGTCTGTTGATTAATTTTCTGTCGAAACTGAAAATTATCAACAATCAATTTTTTCGTCATTTAGTTTAACAATAACGTTAATATAATGAGCACTCACATAAAAAGGCATTAATGTTCGTATGTACGCTTTTGATTTCACAAGACTATTGTTACGGTAAACAATACATTTCTTATTCTTTTGTCTTTTAAGTTCAATGACTAATTATGTTAAAAAAATATTTTTGAATACGATGTTTCCAGTTATGAGATACAAAATTTCTAGTTAGCTATTGCTTTTACTTTGTGGTAAAACAATACAAAATATCTGTGTGTGAGTGGCTACGCTATGGCAAAAAATTTCAGTGACTTCATACCCCCTCACAATCTTTCTCACCCTACTATCAAAACTTGATCCTTGTCACCTTACCATAAAAAGGCCATTATGGAAAAAGATTCGACAAAAAATAAATATACACCATAATATAACAAAAAAAAAACAATAAGTTACAGCTTAATTAGGCTATTAGCTCGGATTTATTCACTTCGGTTAGCCTGCTAAGTGCAACGCAAATCGAAGAGAATAAATTCTAGTCTTATGCAAGAAGCATCTTTGTTCTGATACATATAATTAAAGCTAAACAAAAGAGAGAGTGACAGAGGCAGAATTGTTATTTTTTACGTACTCGGGAAGGGTTGGAGTTATTGAGGTACGTTTAAGGCGAGCATAAGTTAAGAAATAGTCAGAAAGGCTGGCTTCATAAAAATGGATTGTTGACGTTCGACGAAGACGATACTGTCCCGACCTGTAAATTAAACAAGCAATTAGTACTTTACAAAAGTTTGAATAAAAATATTCAGTTCGTGGTGTTCGCCAGTTCTTTCTAATTTAAACTTCGCAGTCAGCTTTGATGTAATTTTTAACGCAATAAAACCATCTACCTTCAAATAAAAAGTTTAAGAAAGGAGTATAATAAGATTCATGTATTCAAGCATTAGAGAGAGAATCCACATCATGAGCCCCCATTTTTGACAGTTCTTGTTGACGTTTCAATAGGCATATTTGAATTTGGTTTGAAATTTTACGGATTTGTTGTTTGTTATAGTAATAGGCATATTTGAATTTGATTTGAAATTTTACGGATTTGTTGTTTGTTATAGTAAACGCTACGAATGTTTAGGAGTGATTCATCGGTCGCTACCATGTGAACTAATCTGTTCAAGGTCACATAAACTTAATTCCAGTGCCGTGGTGTTTCAAGTCATATAATAATCAATATATAATCTGTTGTAATTTGTTGTTTTAACTGTCAAAGTCTTGTCAAAACATATATTTGGTTATAAATATAAAATGGAATGCCCCATTGGTCGCACCGCAAGCACACCAATGGACTGGCGCACAAAAACGAATCAATCAAAGAAACGCGATATAGTATTGTCTTTGTCAATCACGCTAACATTTTAGAATAAGTAGGAGGAGCGCAGGCAGATGATTAGACTGGGCCTTTAAAAACCTACGTCTGCGGTAAAAATTTACGTTTTTAATGTAAAAATGATAGCGCGCGTGTCGATTCTAACTTCATCAAGCGATAAATCACTCCCAAACATTCGTGGCGTTTAGTATAGCTTATTTATGCTATTATTATTGGGAATCCCAAAGAAGACTATACAGGGTGATTCAGATTTTACTAGAATAACTTCAGGTATCTCTCGATAGAACTAACCAAAATAATGATAGTTTGTATTATAAACCATACTCCAAAAACGCTTCCGCTTGGAGTAAAATGGCGCTAAAATTTGAATTATTTTTCGGTTTTTATTTTATTACTCGTAAGCCAGAGGATCTAAATACGCAAGTGTTTGGTTAAATGCAAAGGGCAACGTGGCTATGTGTGAAAAAAATTGGATTGATTGCTATACAGGGTGTTGTTTTTGTAAGTGTCAATTGCACGGAACCTTGTAGAACTTTTTTTAACGTATTTTTTTCTGATACCTTCCGTCTTTTTACTAACTTTTCTTGTTCTTAAATTTTATTGATATATCGCTTAGTTTTCGAGATATTCCACAAAATTCCGGACATAGCTCAGCTGCGTTCGAAAAATGTTACTTAATTAGCAGCATGCCATGGAGAACTTAATTCAAATTTTGGCGCCACTTTACTCCAAGCGGAAGCGTTCTTGGAATATGGTTTATAATACAAACTATCATTATTTCGGTTAGTTCTATCGATATATGAAGTTATTCTAGTAAAATCTGAATCACCCTGTATAATAGTCTGTTGTGCATCGTACGGTACATCGTGGTCAAAAATCGATATAAATAAGGGAATAATTTTCACTGGTAACTATATATATAGGTAGGTAACTATCAGACCTGCAACAAGTCAGTTTTAAAAATACGTTATTTCTAAAACCAAAATGATTTATAATTCTCAAGTCAAATTCAACATAAAGCTCAAATGATCTAAGTCCTAAGTCGTTTTTTCAACTGAAGTCATTTTTGGAATTCTTAAATCAATATAAAGTTGACTTAAATCAATATAAAGTTATTTAAGTCGTTTTTATTACTTAAGTCTATATATTATTGACTTAAATCATGATGATCTGCAAGTTAAGTCAGTAAAATGACTTAAATCAATATAATTACCCTGAAGTCAAGACAACCAGAATTCAATTTAAGTACCATTTTTTAAATGTTAATATTAATTTTCTTGGATTGCCAATTAGCGATTTTCTTACTAAGTATCATATTAATTTATTGTAGATACAGATGGGACTAAAATCACATAAAATAAAACGGTTAATTTTCAGAACAACCACAAACACAAAAATATGTTTTTTATAAAATTTAACCGTTGGTTGAAGAAATAAGATGCACAATCTTATGGACGATTTCGTGGCACAAAACCTGTCTGAGATGTAGCTGGCATTACCGTCAGCCGGTCCGAGAATTCCGAGATTTAGTTTAGCTTTGCGCCACTGAGCGCTGAATACTGTATCGTAGCAGCCGTAGTTCTGCTTTCAGTCGACAGAGTGAGTGGTTGCCGAAGACAGTGTTGCCAGAACTACTGATTAATCCGTAGATTTACGGATTTTGGGTACAGTACGTTAATAATACGGATTTTCTATAATTAAACAGTTTAATATAATATTATATCATTAAACAAAGAACGGCGTCAGAGTTGGCTTGGAAATGAAGATCGCTGTTATTTTATATGCAAAATTTTATGGTAAATACGTCATATTCAGTACCTATAAAGAATTTTTATTTTTGTTGTTTATTCTATGTTTAACACGAATAAATTTTCAATGCATAAACGCGGATTTTTCATCCAAAGATCGTCAAACGTATTACAGATATCACACATTTTAATATGGCAACACTCTCGCTTTCAGATCCACACCGTCTTCGATATGCCTTCGTTGGCTGAATTAGAGAAAATAAGTGTATCATTCTGCGGTCAATCTCCACCGTATAGCACTTGAGACGTAAGGGGAAATCAAATCAGCTTTGTCACGAATTCGCCCATTAGGTTGCGTATCTTCCCAATTCTTTCACTCAACGATTTAACCGATTTTGTCGTACTTTATATGTTTCCATTACAGATGGATGTCGACACTACATAAAGACGCCGACAAAGAATGTGCCGAAATTAAGAGTCCGAATCTATTCCAACTGACTTTAGAAACACTATACTCAAGCTCATAGCATATAATTATAATATTATAGTTGTTTAAACGAACCGTATTGTAAGAAATTAATCAATTCTCACGACTCTGAACGAACGAGCTATAAAAACGAACGAGTCGCATTGTGATCCGATTCAATTCATACGAGTCTTTTTTACGACTCATTCGTTCAAATTCAATGAATCCCTGCTGGGCACGATTCAATTAAACGAACCGTATTCTAGTCGGTGAATTGAATCTCACGATTCATTTTTCGATGTACTTAAACAGCCGTTAAACGGTAGCCTACTAAAATGCCGTTGATAGAAATTGTGACGTCGTTCATGTCGGCGGAAAGTAATGCCTAGCCATAAGCATATTGCAAGAGCACCTGTGGCTCCGTGGCTGAGGCTATCGGTTCGTAAGCGAATGGTTCGGGGTTCAAATCTCACGCTGACCAAGACTTTTTTATATTTTTTTGCTTATAGCGTGATCTTATTGCATTGGTTTCACTCTTTTTGGTTGGATTGGTTTAGTTATTTGGCTGGTTGGTTAGCGTGGTTATTTGGAGGGTGTTAATTCATTGGTTAGTTGGTTATTTGGTGGGGTTGGTTGGTTTTTACTAATTTATATTTGTTTTTTAATTTTTTTTTATCAGTGTCGAGGTTAGTTGCGTTGGTTAAGTTGGTTATTTGGTGGGGTGGATAGCGTTGGTTAGTCCTTATAAAATTCCTATATTTCATAAAGCCGTCAAGTGCGTCACATCAACGACGTCATACCTATTAACGGCATTTTAGTAAGCTACCGTTTAACGGCAGTTTAAGTACAGCCTTCATTTTTAATACTCTTTAACGACTCGTTCAATCTTTGCCCACCTCTAATATGATTAATATACTGACCTTAAACGGATTACCACCCCAACCATTACTATATCCATTAGTGATACCGTTGGTTGGCAGGATAGGCTGCAAGATAGTACCTTTGTTCTGTTCTTTGAATGGATTGACTAATGGCTGCTTCTGCGCCCATGGGTTGGAACCGAACGGATTATTTTCTTGAAAGGGCGTAAACGCTGTCACAAACTGGCCTGAAAGTATTCAGTGGTAAATAAGATAGGTGGAGCACAGATATGGGGTAGGATACCTTGACTAGGAGATCCAAAAATTGAACCCTGAGGAGAGGGCGAACCGTAAACTGACCCTGTAGTTGGGGTCGACGAGCTGTAGAGTGAACCTGTTGAACCCGTGTTGGAACTGGACCATACGTCCTAGAACAATATGTTCGTAATTTAAATTTGAACATACTTTTACTTACTTAACATTTAACAAGTTTTATTTATAAAAGTAGAATTTATAGTAAATTAGTAGTAGAATTAACCTGAAATTCCTTTAATAAAGTCTAAAGCGGCCACTTTTCATATTCCAACTATTAGAACAAATTTGAATACGAACCGTTACCATCGAGAAACAGAGAGGAGGCCGAAATAGGCCGGAGAGCTCTGAAGTACACGGAGGAGTGTTCACTTCGCGTTCTTCACGTTCAAAAAATGTACACGGTGGGTCAAATTGAACTCTTTTAAAGGGAAACACACCCCTTTTCTATAGGAGATAGACGAAAACTAGCTTCGGTGTCTGAAGCTCAATTTTTATCAAAAACATGATGGTGAAAAGCGCACATCGATATCTGCGAGGGGTGTCTCACTCGGGTAAAAAATGTACACGTACTGCCAAAATATCGTTCCACTGCTAAGCGACTGCCAATGACTATGAAGAAGACTGCCTATGACTGCCATGTAATTATTATAGGCGACTGCCATAAGACTGCCAATGACTGCCAGCGACTGCCAAGAAAATGTACAGGTAATTCCAATAGTGAGAGACCCCTCGGATATCTGTTACCGTTTCGGGGGTACGGAGTGTTTTTCAAAAATGTGTATTTTTTACAAATCACTGTAATTTCTATGGAAAATTTTGCATTTTTATGAAAACATTTCCAAAGCACCTTTTTACGTAGAATTTAATGGTTTAAGTATATATTTTTTTAATTAATAATTTAAGAGTTATTAACAGAAAACTTAATTTTTTATTTGGGACACCCTGTATATTTTTAATTAACTGAAACTTTTTTTAAAATTACCTTTCCAAAAATATAGCATACTTGATAATTTGCTCGATTCCTCTTCGAGGTATAGAGTTTTTTAAAATTCTCCCACTTTGAATAAATTAGGCTTTGAACGGTGCCGGCTGTAATGCAAAAAAATTCTAGCTGTTAGCAGCAATTAAAACGAAAATATTTGCAATGGGAGATGCAGAATTTTATAATAATTTAAACTATGTTAAACAACATCAACACATTTAAACTATATCTAATAACAATAAAAATAAATAGCAAAACATGACATGAGATTTTGCTACAGGTGTTCGACATGTCGACCATTTTCTATTATGAACAGATGGGACCGTTTTTGAACATTTCTCGCGGAATTCTTTAGCTCAGTGGGGGTGAAAGATGCCCTCGCATAACCTAATCTCTAAGTACATCTAATTATTGCCTAGACTATACGGTCAGTTTCAAAATAAGAATCTTTATTCTTCCGCAAAGATAAAAATTCTTAGGCGCTAAGTCCGGCGGCCTCGACGGCCAACGGCTGGGATATTGGATAGCTATTCAATTATTCTTGAAATTGGCTGCAAAAATTTGCTGATAACTAAGGGCAATGGCCCAGCTACGTTGAAACGCCGGTTCCCATTAGAACACCGAAGTTAAGCGACGTAAGGCGATACTGTTGGATGGACGGGTGACCGGTTCGAAACTCTGTATCATGCTGTTGTCCAAGGGAAAAGTGTAAAATCTATTGATATACACTGCTCATTCACGCCGGTTAGAGGCCGGATGAGATCGGATATCTCGTGAGTAAGAGTTGATTTAGACACTTCCTAAGTTGGTAGGCCATTGACCATGATATGGCCGAGGACCGCGGTTCGGATTCCGCGTAAACAAAGTAGGCCCCGTCCAGATTAGCCCTGACAGCAAAAAGGAGACGTTAACTGAAATCTTTACTTTTACTTTTTTGCTGATAACTTCAGCGTTCTGAGGCAGTGCCCCGTTTTGCTGGAAAAATATGTTATCGAGTTCCATTAGGGACAGATCATCAAGAAGGGGTCCAAAGCCTACTTGTTAAAAGTAACGAACTTTTAATTCTGTATTTCGAAGGAGACTATAACAAAAGATATTTTGTTTGGTTAGGTTAGGTTAGGATATTTTGTTATAGTCTCCTTCGAAAGGATGATATTTTCTTATAGTCTCCTTTGAAATACAGAATTTTTAAAAGTTCGTCACTAAAATTTATCAAGTGTGCTATATTTTTGGAAAGGTAATTTTAAGTCCTTTTCAGATAATTAAAAATATACAGGGTGTCCCAAATAAAAAATCAATTTTTCTGTTGATAACTTAAAGTATTAATTGTAAAATATTATACTTAAACATTAAATTCTGAGTAAAAAGGTGCTTTGGAAATGTTCTCATAAAAATATAAAATTTTCCATAGCATAAAAAGTACAACGATTTGATAAAAATGCACATTTAAAAACACCCCGTACTCCGAAACGGTAACAGATATCGATGTGCGGTTTTCACCATCATGTTTATCATAAAAATTGAGCTCCAGACACCGATATTAATTTGCGTCTATCTCCAATAGAAAATGGTCTTTTCCTTTCTTCTTCTTACAGTGCCGTACTCTATACAGAGCGTCGGCTACCTCTCGCATGCACTTGTGATGTGTGTCATTAGTGTTTCACAAGTACACGGGACCTACAGTTTATTACCGAACCCGAACGGCATTATTTGAGAGGCTGTACAAGGCAAATATACTCAAGGTGGTTTGCCATTGCCTTCCTTGAGGTGGTTGGCCGCTCTATTTAGATAAATAAATATTTTTATTTAAATAAATAAACCGACCGTACTGGCTGGGGATCGAACCCAGTACCTTCCGCTCCGCAGATCGATACACTAACGCTGGAGCTACGGCCGCCCACTGTATTTCCCTTTAAAAGCGTCTAATTTGACCCACTCTGTACATGTACTGCCAAACGACTGCCAATGATTGCGAAGACGACTGCCTATGTCTACCATATAATTATAGTCGACTGATGCTAACGACTGCCAGCGATTGACACAGTGAGACACTCCTATCGGAGGTATACATATCAGATCTCTATACGTTATACACGGACACCGATTTTTTTTATTAATATAATTATTCTAAACATATTTTTCTCACGAATGGCATAAAATAAAACGAATCTAATACGGAGTAATATAAATAATACTTGTCTTAGATTTTACCTGTTGTTGCTGCTGCTTCATTTCGTTATCCAAATCCTTCAGCGCGGCATATTTGTCTTCAACAGGTGGTGGTGTGGAATTAATCAATGGAGATGTATTTAAACCATTTAAAACACCGTTCTGTTGCGTGGGGGTTGGCACCCAAGCATTTATTGTCGTTGGTATGGGCATACCTGAAACGAAAGTGTGAGTCTTAAGACTAAGATACATTGAATTTATGTATAATATCTGTATTTAAATTAATTTGAATATTATCTACTCTAAGCGATTTAGCTGCATCTATGTGACCAGTGTTCTACCATAAACGCTATTGTTTTATTGTATTCTATCATAAACACCTTTGTTTTTACATTTGACATTTTGACAATGTGTTATGTAGACTCGGCATTATTAGCCAGTGTTAAAAATTAGTTTTAATTTTCAAGGAATATTATTTTATTATTTAATATTTCCTTATTAATCTAACATTATTAAAATTTCATGAGAATTTTTAAATCAAGCTAAAAGCCAGTCTATCATCTGCTGATACGCCCCTTATCGGAGTATATCTTTCTTCATCTTGAGTAGACGAATATGAGTGAGGCGGAACAGGTAACTCACCTCATCCTGAAGCATATCTCTCAATGAAACTCTGCTTCATTGCATTTCTCGGCTTTAAACGCTGAAGTCGCACCATTTTAACAAACATTTAAGTTTATATTTCTTTACAACATTAAGCCGGGGACAGACCTGATATATCCACTTTCACCGCCAGAAGCAGAAGATGGAAAGCGTTCGTTCGCGCTGAAATCATTCGTCGTGACGTACATTCGCTGCGAATGTACGTCCACACCTGAGAAACATTTCCTTGCGAATGCAAACGAATGGTAACATTAGCCAGGTCTGACGAACGTTACCATTCGTAAAGCTGAGGACAGACCTGACGAACCTTAACTTTCGTTCGCATTGCAGCCATTCGCACAATTATGGCCCATTCGCATAGGGCGGTATGGCACATTTGAACGAATCTTTTTCTTTCGCTAACATTTCCACTGTTCGCCCTCTTTCCACTTCATGCATTTTTACCGATACGTCTACACTGCAACGTTTCCAGTCATTCGCGGCTCGCATTTTTCTCTGATATATTCACTTTCACCGCCAGAAGCAGAAGATGGAAGCGTTCGTTCGTACAATTCGTCCTGACGTACATTGGCTGCGAATGCACGTCCACACCTGAAAAACATTTCGTCGCGAATGCAAACAAATGCGATCGAATGGTAACGTTCGTCAGGTCTATCCTCGGCTTAAGGTGCCATTGTTACCCGCTCGCACCGGGTGGTATGTGTGACACATTTGAATGCATTCGCTGTGAATGCACGTTACAGAATTCGGAAAATTTTGACTTAACAAAGAATATTATACTTTTCTGTACCCAATTTTAATGACATAATCTGATAAATTTTAGTTTTTATAATATTTTTTCGATCAAATAATTAAATAAATCAATCAGTCGATAGAAGTATGGCTGGACAAAATACAATAAACACTTGGTAATTAAAAACCAGTAAAAAATAAAACCGAAAGACGAAAATACCTCACTGAACACCTGGACGTATCAAAATAAACTGTGTAAATAATTGAACGTAGAAGCATCCAGGAATAGATTTTCCTTTGATGAAATAGGCGGCAAGTCGCAAAGAGTTTTTGCCAAACAAATGTTAATAGTCTATTTACAATTAATTAATAATTCTCTTACATATGTATATATTATAATTTTACTACACAAAGAATTTTAATCATCTTAATATTTCACATCTAAGGAAATACCTATTTAAAATTGAATTAAAACTTATGGAAATCGATCATTTAAGTATTGCCAACGTACTAGTATTGCCAAAGTTAGTATTGCTCTTAAAAAATAATCTCGTGTTCCAATATAAAGATATTTTTATAGAAAAATGTTTTTCAACGTAAATGAAACATAATCTTTATAAAAATTAAAAAAAAATTAGGAAAAACAATAAAAAATCAATAAAATCACGCAACTACTTTACCGATAACAACTGCCGTGTTCTCCAAGCTCGGTCTGCTACCTTTTTAATCGATGTTTCTCGTAAAAAATTAGACGACGCGCCCCGTCAAAAAAATTCGACAAATTTGCAAGTGGGCAGAGTGTGTTTTGCGGTGATTATATATAGTCGTCAAGTCCACACAAGTGTATATGTAGAGATCTATAAAATATATTGCTGTTTATTTAAATGTGTTTTGTGGTAAATCGATCATACTCTAATATTGTGTCCGCATTTTTGAAATTCCATTCATCTCACACTGATCCAGTAGACGTACTTTAACTTTTAATTATTCTATGGTTAAGTTCTACAAGATATCCTAAATTATTAGGCAATAGTTAACAAAGAGTGCAAATTTATTGAAAGGTTCTTATTGTCCCATTCACGAAAAATGCCAACCTTTATATAGAGCGACTCAGGGCGATGGTACGTTAGACGTTTATGGAGAACCGGTGATCCAAAGGCACCTGCTCCAAATATTTTCAGCGTTAGAATATTGTCGCATCATTTGAAAAGTGGTAGCATCTTTCTTATTTTAAAGGAAACACCCGGTATATTATTACATTTTTGGAAACTACTTTCATATCTCCTAATTTTTTTTATTCGAAATAGGCCTTTAAAAGTTATTTGCAAAAATCTATCTTCAAATTTGTAAAATTTATAATACGGTCCAGGGAAAGCTACAATTAAAATACCAGCAAAATGTGACTTTGTCATTGTCAAATTCGATGTCACATTTTGTTGAAAAGAATTTGAAGTTTCCAGATTGAGTAATTTTGTATAAAATAATTATGATTTTCGCAACCTCTGAAAAAGTCACGATGGTTAAATGGCATTTTGCTGGAAATAGTATTCCCGCTGTGATATGTTCGCAGCATAGTGTCCCGGAAAGCCTATACCGAATAAAAAATGAAAGTTACGGTATTAAGCACATGGAAGTGTGAAGACGTAGTAAAATAAACAACCTTTCGAAACCACACAAACTTTTGTAAACAAATGTGACATCGAATTTGACAATGACTGACATTGACCAAAGATTTTATTGAAGATAATTTGAAAACAGATTATGTCTATTCCAAATGAATCGATAGACAAAAGTACAATTTTAACGCCTCTTCAAAAAAGTCTAATACAACTTTTGCATAAAATTATCTGGGGGATAATATTTGATCTCTTCAAAATTTGCATGGGATATTTTATGTCCCGTGTTCCGATGCACCACACGGTATAAGTTTTTTAGCGGAAAATATGAGTAGGCATAGTTGTTTTTTCCATAATTTGGATGACACGCCAGTTTCAGCAGGAATACTACGACAGTTTGTCTTTAGTTAATATTCTTGGTACTAAACAATGGTTAAAACTAGAAAAAAAAGATGTTGTATGATGTGTAGTCTACTATTATTCTTAAATGCTCATTAATTTATAAAAGCTAATGAACAAGCCTATAGAAAATGTTCAAGAAAGAAAAAAAGGAACTATAGAATCTAGATCTAGAATGATGGTGGTGCAAAGCGCGAAAGCCGCTCACTTACTCCATCGATTGGAGCGACACCTGGGGAACAGAGGCACCTGGTTGAGCGTGGGGCCGTTGCTAGTGAACTGCAGGTCGAATATGCTGAAATTGTCGTCGGCTGCAAAGACGGTAAAAATCCAATCAACAAAACAGAGTACGGTCTGGTCTACTGGCGAGCCTGTTACTTTTTTAACGCTTGACGGAAGCCGGCAAAATTGCGCTGGAAGGGCGCCACCCTCTAATTTAGTTTTATTACCCGGATCTAACGACCACAATGATTTCACGTAGATTACCTACATTCCATCTATCGTAAAGATAAAACGAAGTCAGAACCCGTTGAAGTAGCCGCCTTATTACGGTGTTTGCCTGATTAGATCATAAAGTAATAATCGTTTACAGTTAAACTTTACCAATAGTTTGCAGATGCAAACAATTTTATAACGTTAGATATCATCTAATTCTAGCTTTACAGACACACTGATTAATTTCAGGTTACAACGTTAAATAAGTAATCATTTTTAAATTTATATACCGGGTGGCGTCTCAAAAGTGCGACACGATAGAAATTGACACTCGATTTATTCGATAGAAATTGACACTCTGAATAGAATGACATATCATATGTCAACTTTGGACATTTTCGAATATGGTCTATTTGATATTGCAAGTTGTGTGTGGTATCAAATTATTGCTTTTTATTGAAAAAATGCTTTTTCTAAATATGCTAATGAGCCACCATCATTCCATCTGAAAAAACTGAGATGTGATGAAAAATTCGATTTGGGCATCCTTTAACCGGCCAGGACAAGACACTAAAAACATTAGACGATGAAATTTATTTTTCCAAGGCTCCTTGATTAAAATTAGTGTTTTTAACACAGCCATGGCACTCTGGATTGAAATTTAAAATTCAATTTTCTTTTAAGAGAAAATGTCAAAGGTTGACATATGACAGTCATTCTGTTCAGAGTGTCATTTTCTATCAAATAAATAAAAGAAATACCGATGGTGCCATGTAAAAATCAAAAGTTGTAGTAATTTCCGGTGAAACTGGAATTAGCCCAAAACAGTTGAATCCGTTAATCAATCCTAATTTAAGTCATATACTAACATACCAAATCTCGTTTTTTTATCTGAAAAAATAAAAAAGTTATAGGGGGTGCGCCACTTTTGAAACGCACCCGGTAATAGTTTCTAGTTTCTAAAACACCAATGATTGGTATCGAAATTTTCGCCACCCTGTACACACAATTCTTCGTGGGCTGAAAATGATAAATGGTAGTTTTTTCAAAATGTTAAAATAAAGTTAAAAAATGTCAGATTTGCAAAAAAGATCTATTGCTTGACACTGCTCCCGTTGAGTTTGCAATTTACAGTCCGTCGCACAGAGAACAGACATCGTTCCGAATGATAAACTCTGCGGAAGAAAGGATATGGTAACAAAGTGCGGGTTTCCATCCAAAACCGACATTCCATATTAAATAAAAAGTATTTTAGGACGAACGATATAAAATATAGCAATCTTATGAAAATAACGCCGTTAATACAAGCCTTATAAAAACAGTATCTCGTTTTAACTATAATTTTAACAAAAGATATCTACTTCTACCATACGATCGAAAAAAAAACGGCGTTAGAGACATCTGGGAAATGACGATCGATGATAATTTTGGCGAGGTCAAGCCCTAAACGTCATTACTTAGTCTGTACTCTTCTTTATTGTTTAATGGCGCTTACTGCTACTTGACTTTAAGAAGAGTATACCCTATTTTTCATATTGAATAAAAATTATTTTTAAATGGTATAGTTTCAAATTAGAGAAAACATATTTTTTTCGAAATACAGTTAAATACAATTTGGTTGTTTGGAAACATTCTATTCATTTTTAATCTTTGTTTAATTAGTGTTAATTTTTAACAAGTTTTATATCAATTTTTAGTAAATGACATCTAGAGATTAACCCGCCAAAATTATCATGCATTGTCATTCCCCTTTGATGCCGTTTTTTTCGATCGTACGGTATTTTTATAGACTGTTTATCAATAGACGTCGACGTCGTTTTTGGATGAAAATTGGTGTATAGGAGTTTTTTGACATGAGAAATTTGATTTTGATGTCAATATGACTCCTACTTTGTAGAGGGCGCCACCTACATATTTTTTAACTGGTTTGAAGAGTATCACTTTTCGGCCGTACTTGTATAAAACTACTGAGTAAAAAAAATAAATTTACGAAGTTTTTTACGTAAAACATGTCTCTTGATAAAAATCGCTACGAGTAATGGTTCTCGAGATATTTGGAATCGAAATTATCAATACCTGTCATCATTGAGATAAATTAAACATGCTGACAAAATAGTTATTAGACTGAAATCATAAATTTAAAATGTTTTTGTGCTAAAAGTTTAACAGAAACTGTTTTATCATCATTTTTTCGAAGAAAAATTTAGGATTAATTTAAAAAATAAAAATTTTCCAAATTTATAATTTTCAGTCAAATAGTTACTCACTCATGTTTATTTTTTTGTCAATAATGACATGTATTGACTATTTCCATTCTAAATATCTTGAGAAAGGTTGCTCGTAGCGATTTTTACCAAGAGATATTTTTTACAAAAACATTTTCTCACCCAGCAGTTTTATATATGTAGGTACGGACGAAAAGTTATTGCTCTACAAAACAGTTAAAACAAATGTAGGTGGCGCCCTCGACAAATAGGAGTCATATTGACATCAAAATAAAATTTCTCATGTCAAAAAACTTCCAGACACCAATTTTCTTTTAAATATTGATGTTACTTCAGAAATTATTTCGAATAATAAAAATGAAACTTCTACACACTGTATCTCCGAAACTAAGCATTTTAGGACATACATTTATACAAACTTTTTTACTTATCTACAAATACATTTCGGACCACCCTGTATATTATATTATAGGATACCTATATTGTTAGGTAATTGAAGCTGTGCAGGTATTAGGTAATAGCTGTTTGTATGGTCTCAACTTGGATAACACAGTTAATACGATACAAGTAGAGTACAAGTGAGACGAGAGAGTACAATGCGCGCAGCATCCACATCAGTAGGTATAGTAAACGCCACGAATGTTTGGGAGTGATTCATCGCTTGATGAAGTTAGAATCGACACGCGCGCAATCATTTTTACATTAAAAACGTAAATTTTTACCGCAGACGTAGGTTTTTAAAGGCCCGTCTAAATCATCTGCCTGCGCTCCTCCTACTTATTCTAAAATGTTAGCGTGATTGACAAAGACTATATCGCGTTTCTTTGATTGATCCGTTTTTGTGCATCAGTCCATTGGTGTGCTTCTAGTGCGACCAAAGGGGCATTCCAGTTTATATTTATAACCAAATATATGTTTTGACAAGACTTTGACAGTTTGCTGGAATCCTTTTTTAAGTAATTTGTTACTAATAAATATTTTTGTAATATTCATCAACAATAATAAAATTAAAATTGCATGTACAAAAACATAAACAGATTATATATTGATTATTATACATATGACTTGAAACACCACGGCACTGGAATTAAGTGTTATGTGACCTTGAACAGATTAGTTCACATGGTAGCGACCGATGAATCACATATTTACGGCATTATACGGCAGCATCCAGTGTACTTGGTCCAAGTACACTTGGATCGTATCAACCCGCCTTCAAAAATAAACTTTTCACTCGATAACGCAAAACCAAGTAATATAATAATTTTTAATTTAAGTACTCACCATTACTATTAGTACTACTGGCATTAAATACTGAATTATGTTCAAAATCAGCAAATCCATTTTGTTGTGAACTCTGTGACGATCCGGTATTTGAGGCACTAAAAAAGCAAAATAATTATAATAAATCAATTAGTTTTATCTTTGAAAGTATAACCAAAGTTTACTGATTTCTTTTGCACCCTGGGCAGGGCCGGACTGGCCCAAAGTCAGGGTGGCGATTGCCCGTGTCTTACGACCTATACAGGGTGGCGCCTTTCATACCCCGCGGAAGTTCCAAGGAGAACGGTAGTTTATATCGAAATGAAATTTTGGTAGCTTATGTAGGTTAACTGAAAGCATTTTATAAAAATATATAGAATTATACAGGGTGTTCCCAAAAAAGTTACACATCAAAGTTGTGTTTTTTCTAATAGAACACCCTATATATTAATTGATTTTCGGATTCTAGGAAAAAAATAAAGGTGAGTTTTATTAAATAAGCATATACCTAAAATCTAAGGATTTTGACATCTTTCACATTTTGTGAAAATGTAGAGTAAATTTTAAATTTCGATAACAGCTGTCCAAATTTTAGCTGACCTTGTATAGCCTGATATTTAATTAAGTAACCATTGTATGTTAAACCAAATTGAAATTTGACCCGAAAAGTTATACAGGGTGAGACAAAATTAATATGGAACATTAGTCACTTATAAAAGCAAGTTACTCCTTTATTTTAAATGAAATACCCAGTATATTTTTCTGGTGTTCAATGGGGAATTTATATATTATCTTCAAAGTATTATTAAGGTTGCCTACCCCTCTGACAAACATTTTCCTAGATATTTTAATTTTTATGATTTTGCGTCAGTAGATCTTTATAATTTGAAAAAAATCTAGGTGGCAGTGTGATATACCCTTTTGTTAATTTAACAAAAATTAAAGATTGTAGAGTAAAATATTCAACGGTTATAAAAAGATACACGTTTAAAACATACATATTTTAGTTATTACAGAATTAAAACTAGATAGAAACCTATAATCATGTGACAAAAATTAGCTAGATGAAATCAAATGCTCAAAATGCTTCCTTTCCTGTTAAAATGGTTGTCTTTTCAAAAGGATCTTTTCATTTTCAAAGGCATTATGTGGAGTTCTACCTCGAAAAGCAGCTACAATAATTTCTCTCATGTTGTCGACAACACTTTAACATATCTCCATGAAAAAAACATAGACTAGATAAAATCAGGATAAATGCTCCTGATATGAATTGCATTTTCGGCAAATTTCTGAGATTTTTTTTTGTTTTAACTGACACAAAATGATCACTAGTTATTAAAGTTGGACTAATTAGACAGCAATGTTGAAGTAACATCAGACCATGTCACAGCCACCTAGATTTTATCAAATAATAAAGAGCTACTCAGATCTAAGCATGTAAATGAAAATATCTAGGAAAATCTTTGTTTGAGAGGTAGGCAACCTTAATAGTATTTTGAAGAGACATGAATTCTCCATTGAATATCGGAATAATATACTGGGTGTTCCATTTTAAATAAAAGAGTAACATGCTTTTAAAGGTGACTAATGTTCAATGTTAATTTTGTCTCACCCTGTATAAGTTTTTGGACCAAGTTTTAATTTGATTTAAAGTACAATAGTTAATTTAACTACATATTAAGCTATACCGGGTAAATTCCAATTTAGGTAGCGTTTATTGTAATTTAAAATGTTGTGCATTACAAAAAACACAACTCTGATATGTAACTTTTTTTGGGAACACCCTGTAGAACTCTCTATATTTTTAAAAAGTGCTCTGAATTAACCTACACATGCTCATAAAATTTCATTTCAATATAAACTGTCGTTCTCCTTGGAGCACCGCGGCGTATGAGAGGCGCCACCCTGTACAAGAAGTTGGCGATTTTAAAAGATAAATTTACAATGAATAAGTAAATTTACTCTGAGCTACACATTTTTTACATAAATTCATAAAGAATATTGGTGAATATAAAGATATATTTTAACATATTTACATACAAATTTGCCATAGAGCGATTTTACAAAAGAGTTGTCTAAAGAACGGATGGTAAATTTACTACAATAATCTGTGGCAAGAAATAACCATCAATATTGTTATTAAATTCATAAAATAATTTTTTCAGTGTACTTCACTTTATAGACCAGGTTTTTTATTGTGTTTTATTTAACTAACTACTTACCTAAATATATCAGCTTTGTCGAAATCGGCAAAACCACCAACCAAATTGTTATTGTAGTTAGGCGTCGTTCTAGGCTCGGGGCGACTCCTCGACGTTCCATTGGTTATAACACCGTTTTGGTTGTTGTTGCTGTTACGATTTAACCCATTCCTAGTGCCGTTCTGCGTCGGGATAATGACGGGCGTCGCCGTCTCGATTTTGTTCGCGCCACTTTCCATATAGTACCTGTAAGAGAACGCACGATGGAATAGTCGAATATTGCATCTTTTTGGGAAGCTTCGTGTCTGTCCCAATTCTTGTTATCATATCAATTACGAAGCGGATAACAAATAGTGTTGAAAATTCAGATGAGTTGTACAGGGTGTCCTATTTTCGTGTATTTTATGGGGTTTCTCGTTCATGAGTAGAGATGCAAATATGCGGTTTTCACATAACTGTCCTACTTTTTTTATGAAACTAAAGATGCGACCACAGATTTGCCCTAGCGTTCTCGTATTTTGGAAAACAGGGTAAATTTAAAAATTTTGCATTTCGTATCTTGATTATAACTTACCGAAAAGGTGAAATCTGAGTTCCGTGGAGTTTTTCACGTAGAATCCAGTTAGTACAGTCAATCTGGCACTTTAACGTGATATTTTCTTATGAATTAAAGATGTTACGCACACAATTGTCCTAGCCTCCTTAGTTATCATATAACTTATCGAAATGGTGAAAAATGTGTCCTGTAGAGTTTTTGAAGTGGAATCCAGTGGCGAATATAGTAATAATTACTTTTTCGTTAGGAGCCGTAATTTTCGAAATATTCCCAAACTAATCTTTTTTTTTAATGGGACACCCTGTATATTATTATTTAATTTATTTTCCTTGGATAAAAGTTAAAATAAGCGTTCTAAAAATGAAAAGATAAAAATGCGTTATTTAACTTTTTAACATAAATTACCCTAGTCTTAAAAAACAGTATTATTATTTTGTTTTATTTAATTTAACCAGATAATTTTGCTTTACATCGTGTTATCTTAATAAACTGCACTGAAAATGAACTTGAGCAGCTTTTAGACAAAACGCTGTTAATCAGAGTTATTGTTATTTTCTATGCACTTGTACAATCAATTCACACACAGAAATTGGTGTGGAATAGCCAATAACCAAAATTTGACATCGAATAAATTATTCGATTGTTTAAAAAGTTAAATGGTCTATGTTAAAAAGTTAAATAATACATTTTTACTTTGTTTATAAAAATAAGTAGAGTATATTATATTTATAAAAAGCTTATAACAAGGTCAATGAAATAAAAAAGTAATATACTGGGTATCCCATTTAAAAACAAACATAAGTTTGGGTCGTATTTTCAAAATGACAGCTCCCAGCAAATTAGTTACGCCACGGGATCCTATGTAAAAAAACTCTACGGAATTCAGTTTTCACTTTTTTGATAAGTTATAAGATAACCATGATTTCAAATTCACCCCCGGGAACTAAGAAGGCTAGGACAAATCTGTATGTAGCATCTTTAGTTTCACGAAAAAGTAACTTAGTGATGTGAAAACCGCATCTTTGTATCTCTATACTCATTTTAAAAAAGGGAAACCCCATAAAACAGACAAAAATTGGACACACTGTACAGGGTGGGTCAAATTGGACGCTTTTACAGGGAAACACCCTTTTCTATAGGAGATAGACGAAAACTAATATCGGTGTCTGGAGCTCAATTTTTATCAAAAATATGATGGTGAAAATCACACATCGATATCTGTTACCGTTTCGGAGTTACGGGGTGTTTTTTAAAAATGTGCATTTTAAACAAATCGCTGTAACTTTTTTGCTATGGAAAACTTTGTATTTTTATGAAAACGTTTCCAAAGCACCTTTTTACGTAGAATTTAATGGTTTAAGTATTTTTTTTTTTAAAATTAATAATTTAAGAGTTATGGACAGAAAAATTGATTTTTTATTTGGGACGGCCTATATATTTTTAATTAATTGAAAAGGAGTTAAAATTACCTTTCCAAAAATATAGAACATTTGATATTTTGTCCCCTTCGAAATACAGAATTTTTAAAAGTTTACCACTCTTAACTAGTAAGCTAGTGGACCACTTATTGATGATCTGCCCCTAATGGAACTCGAAAACATATTTTTCCAGTAAGATGAGGCACCGCCTGCGCCTCAGAACACAGAAGTTATCAGCAAATTTTTGCAGCCAATTTCGATAATAATTAACCAAGATTAGAGAGCTAACCAAGATCCCAGCCGTTGGCAGTCGAGGCCGCCGAAGCCTCCCGACAACGCCTATGGATTTTTATCTTTGCGGAAGAATAAAGGTTCTTATTTTTAAATTGCCCGTATAATCTAGATAAGAATTAGAAGTACTTAGCGGTTATGCAAGAGTATCTCTTAACCCCTACTGAGTTAATAAATTCCTCGAGAAATGTTCAAGAACGGTCCCGTCTGACCATAACCATAATAGAAGATGGTTGACATTGTTGAACACCTGTAGCAATATCTCATGTCTTGGTTAGCTATTACTTATTATTGTTATTAGATATACATAGCTTAAATGTGTTGTGTATAATGTTGTTAAATATAGTTTAAATTGTTATAAAATTCTGCCATCTCTCATTGCAAATATTATTTAAGTAATTGCTGCACAGCTAGAACTTTTTTGCATTACAGCCGACGCCGTTCAAAGCCTACTCTATATCTCGAAGAGTAATCGAGCAATCGAGTAATCAAGTATAAGCATTAATTATTAAATTCTTTTCAATGAATTAAAAATATACAGGGTGACCCATGTAAAAAAATAAATGTTCTGTTGTTAATTCTTAAATTATTAATTTAAAGAAATATATACTTAAACCATTAAATTCTACGTAAACAGGTGCTTTGGGGATGTTATCATAAAAATACAAAATTTTTCATAGCAAAAAGATTACAGCGATTTGTTAAAAATGCACATTTTTCAAAAACACCCGGTAACTCCGAAACGGTAACAGATATCGATGTGCGATTTTCACCATCATATTTTTGATAAAAATTGAGCTCCAGACACCGATATTAGTTTTCGTCTATCTCCAACAGAAAAAGGCGGTTCCCTTTAAAAAGCGTCCAATTTGGCCCACCCTGTACATTCGAGATATTACATTTATATATCGATATATCGGCATATTACATTTTTTGATGTTTAAAAAAAATCTAACCTTGGATTGAAATAAGGGCATTAATACATCCCAGATATATGTAAGTATTCTGATTTGAATTTTAAAATACCAACCTCTTCCTCTCGTATTTCTCGATCATAAAGTCTCTGATCTGTTGTTCGTCACCTGAATGCGTGGGTGCCACGCCCTCGTACAAACCTAGCCACACCCTCCGACAATAGTCGTTTCCTCTGTTCCGAACGACATCTATCTCCTCTGTGGTGAATGTGGCCATCGATATGGATTTGACGCGGTGCGGTGGGGTTAAGCCTCTCCTGAAACAATAGGTACCAATAGGTAATTGTCAATTGTCAAACAAATAATGTTTTAATACAATATAAAAATAACAGGCTTATGGAAATAAATATCTCAAATTAGGTTCATCACAATCAGCATTTCTAATACGAGATGGCAGAAAAAAGATGGAAAGTCAACGTAGCATAAATTTAGAAACAAGATAACATATCACTAAAATACTTAAATATTTTATTTCTTATAAAATATTACATCGTCTTGGTTACGCTAGGCATTAATAGAGTCATATCTCCCTTGGGACATGATTAACGAAAATTAAGAGTCTATTACGCTGTACTTTCATGTCGCTATCAGGGGTCGGGTGACGCGGGTGTGTTCAAAAATCCTGTCGTGTTAAGTCACACCTAAAATTCCAAACACACGTGCTTTAATTAAGGCTTGATTAAGGTTTGCAGAGCTTCAGCATCTGTCATAAAATAGCGAGTAATTTGTTACAAAACCATATAAATTATATATCACTGTAATCACAAAACTTCAATCTACTTCCGTATTGTAACGGAATGTTAAATCGTCTCTTTATTTTCGAGAAAATTTAGTCCAAACATAAGGAATATTTTGATGTTTGACAGTCAAAATCTTAAAAATTAAGAAGTTGTCTAAAAATGTGCTACAATACGGATATAGTATAATCCTTTATCTTTAATTTTCTTCTTCATTTATGTAAAAATACCTAGCCAGTTTTACATCAAACGTTAAATGCCGAACGCTTATTTTGCTACTTTTTCAGACTAGTGAAATGGACTCTTAAGATGCCACAATTTCCTCTACATTTTATAGTTAACAACAATGAAATAAAATAGATATTTTGAGTAAAAACATAAAATGAAAAATGACACTCACCTAGCTATTCTAATAATTTATTTACATCATTAATGTCATATATAATAAATTTACACGAGAACAGTTCGATCGACATCCCCTGCTACAATATTTTTCTGTCCCCCCGGCCACTGAAGGTATTTTTTATAATCCTTTTGGTAAATGGATTCCCTTTTAGGTGGAAGTAACTAACGCTGGTCGAGCTTCTTCAACTTTTTTAATATTCCCTCAATTTTAATGGAAACGGACTCGAACGTATGCCGAATTCGTGCGAAAGGTGTTTTTTTTAACAAAAACTGAATTCGATTGACAACTGTCAATTTATAAAGAGGTCATCACGGGGGTGTCACTTGTATGGGAAAATAGGCAACAGTCAAATTTAAACGTGCCAGGATAAACGACAAAGAAAGCAACATTTGCCAGGCATTGGCTTTCTTTGTCACTCACATTGCTTAAATCATGATACCGCGGCCATTTTGTCAACAAAGAAGCTGGCCGGCTGTCCTGGCAAGTGATTTAAAACAATTTTGCTTTTTACAATATTAAATTACCATTTGGATGTATTTAATGCGATTATTCAATTAACTGGTAAGTCAGAAATTACACACAAATACTTTATTCGTAAATACAACTAAGATGTAAACGTAGTTTTGTATTTTTAGATTTCAACTTTTGCAAAGACCCGCCGATAGAACTTGCCTGGCAGCGTACCTGTTTAACTAAACGTATTATTTCCTGATAATAATATCAAAACACGTAAGTACCTCTATAATTTATGATGACAAATGATTTTGATTATGTTTTATGTTATTTAAATACTTTCTAACCTCAAATAATAGTAAGATCCTTGTTTATATCGCACAGCCCGTTCAAAACTGTATTGTCTTCAAAAAATGTTTACAAAACAAACAATTATTACAAAAACAATGTCCTTTTAATCTGATTTATACCTCAGAAGGATGCCAGTAAAATTTTATTAAATCAACATTATATTATTTGGCCATTAATATCCAAAAAGGAGCATATTGCCTTAACTTAAATTTTCTTTTACTTCTCTTGACAATGTTCTCTATATTCTCTATTTTGAGTTAGTAAACTTTTGAACGGGATGTGCGATATATAAAATACATAATATATCCAAGGGTATGATCTGATAAAAGTATTTTTTGATGCATTTTTTGGTTTTTTATGCACGTTGGCTTGGTTTATGTTTTATTCAGCTTATATTTATTTGTATAATATTTTTTTTTGCCTTTGGAATGGCATGTATTGAGGCTATAGATAGTGTTTCATTAGATCATTAAAGGAATTTAAATTAGCACATATTTTTGTGATATTAGTGTGTTATTTTGATACAACTACTAGGTAGTTGTATCATAGTGCCTATATGCATGTTATTATATACTTATGTATTATCAGTAATAGATGATAACATACTACTAAAATGTATTTTTAATAGTATGTTTATCTTTCCTATTTCTAGTTATTTGCAAAATGTATTTTGAACTAATTTAAGTCATTAATTGATCATCTTTATTTTTCAGGTTCCGGGATATTCTTTTTCATTATTAAAAATATATATATTTCAATATTATTGTAATATAAATCGCAGCTCTAAAAAATAAATGATATTGTTTACTAAATGTGTAATTTATTTACTATGAATTTTCTCTGAAAATAATAAGTCTTTAATAATATCATTGATTTGCTGTGTAAAGTTAATAGACATATTTTTTAATATTTTAAATTATATTAAAGTAATAAAAATATGTTTATTAACTTTAAACAGTAAATCAGTGATACTTATAAAAATATTTTTTAAAAAATTTCCCCTCTTTTAAGCCCCGCCCCTCCAATTCCCCTCAATTTAGCTAGTACTGCCAGGCTGCACCAGGTGGCGTCTGTTTCCATTTTTTAACATGAAGTTAGCATTTCTTTAATGTACCTATTCTCTGGAGGTCATTTAATCACATAGTAACCTAGCAAGACTGGTTATTTGACATAATTTGAATCAAATAACCTTTAATTTGAAAAAAGCTTGACAAGTGGCAAAATTCTTAAGTCCAGTTCATACGTATATTCCATAGATAAATGCAACAAGTTTAGATTGGAAAGCCCGTAAAAATTTTAGGTCGCGAAATTATTTTGGGTCGCGACCGTTATACGCGATCTGGCGCTGCTATAGCGGTCGCTAAGAACAACGGCAAACAAAAACAGAAATAATTTTCTCTTGTCAAAGTCAGAATCTTCAAAAATCATAATAATCTTTCAAAATCTAAACCGCTCTCACTAAAGAAATTCCGAAAAGTGTTTATAGCGTCCATTTTCAAAGTAATTATTGCTATCTTGTGAGTTTAATTCAAGTTTTATTTACTCCAACCGGTAATAATTGTGAAAAAGTGGCATTAAAAACTTAAAAAGCTGTGCTGAGAACTGTAAACTGCAAAAACCATCGTGGATCGTGGCATAACGTCGGTTTCCAATGTTTCATAGGTATTTCATACATGCGTCCTTATATAAAATAAAGTTTCTTGTATGAACACACTGTATTTTATTTATAAAATTAAACGAAAATAATAATAAATTTGAATAAACAATATTTGGCGATATAATTCCGGAAAAAGCCGAACCGCTCCGAAATTTTCAAAAGTTTTGGGTCGCGACCGTTGCAAGAATAGCGCCAAATAGTGTTTACATTGTCCTTATGGGCACTTTCCAATCTAAACTTGTTTCATTTATCTATGGTATATTCTTCTGTGCATCGTTGATCGTTCCGTCATTTCAATCATATTGAAATATGATCTCTCGTTTTTGAAATAAACCGATAAGATTGGTTAAAAAAAACGACGCATGACCGATTTTTAGGATGAGTTATACGTCGTTCAGTCACTCCAATCATATTTAAGTATAAGCTGACATTTTTGAAGTAAAACTTCTTTACGCGCGTTGGGAGTAAAAATTCAATCCGTAACACACGGCCTTGAAGAGGAAAAGTGATAGCGGCAGTGTTGCCACAGGTACACCATTCGGAGTAGATCTACCATATACGCATTATTTACATACTCAGTCTAATCTCCAAAAACTGAAGCCCAAACAGTGAAAGAGAAATATGGAATTCTGCATAAGTCTATTTCACCCGGATATTCATTTAACTGCGCATGCCTTACCTGAAGAAGTTTTCATTGGTCGGTGTTTTTAAAGGGAAGCGGTTGACTGACATTTCACCTAACCTTCAATTTTATTTATATTTTTATTATTTATAACACATTATCATGGGAGTTGGAAAAATATTAAAAAATAGTTGGAAAGAATAAACTAAACAAAATCACTCTTATACGCGCACAAATAAAAAGTAATCCAAACAGAACTAAAACAACAATCAATCGGAGTTTGGCGCAAGCGCAGTTCAATCCATATCTGGGTGAAATAGACTTATGCAGTTTTAATATGGAGCTGGGTTATGTTGTCATTCTCTTACGGCACAGAAACTGCACACGGGGTTAAATAGGGAACCCGGAGTATATTTTTAAATAATACGTATATGAGATCTGCCCCTTTGTAAAACAATTTAACCCCGCTACCTCGTGATAATCCACCCCTATGAAAAATAAGCGTGTGAGAACACTGTGTAATGATCTGCCTAACCATGCCTTGACATGACATGGCCTAACCATGCCATGGAAAATTTTGTATTTCTATGAAAACATTTCCAAAACACCTTTTTACGTAGAATTTAATGGTTTAAGTAAAAAAAAAATAAAATTAATAATTTAAGAGTTATCAACAGAAAAATTGATTTTTTATTTGGGACACCCCCATATTTTTAATTAACTGATAAGAATTTAAAATTACCTTTCCAAAAATATAGCACACCTGATATTTTGTTATAATCCCCTTCGAAATACAGAATTTTTAAAAGTTCGCCACTTTTAACTAGTAGACTTTGGACCCCTTATTGATGATATGCCCTCTTAATGGAACTCGAAAACATATTTTTCCAGCAAGACGACGCACCGCCTCTGAACGCTGAAGTTATCAGCAAATTTTTGCACCCAATTTCAAGCATAATTGGATAGCTAACCAAGATTCCAACCGTTGGCCGTCGAGGACGCCTGACTTAGTGCCCATGGATCTAATCCTA